CACTCTACACTCCACACTCTACACTTTACACTTCATACTTCACACTCTACACTTTACACTCCATACTCCACACTCTACACTTTACACTCCGCATTCTACACTTTACACACTCTACACTCCCCTCTCCATACTTTTTACTCTCCACGCTCTACACTTTCCACTCCACACTGCAGACTGGTAACAAGGGAAACATGCACAAGACTTTTCAAATAAACTATTGCAGAAAGGTATTGTGCGTGACTGCAAAACCATGTGTTTTCACATCTGTACCATTAACATACGTGTGAGCATTCGGGTTCGTGGGCTTCATCTTGTTGTTATATAACCAAGCACCATCCCGACTCGTGAATATTTGTGTTTGACCAAAACCTAAGACGTCAGGGCTTCGTGAAACTCCACAATGGTATACAAATGCTATATAATGCCAATACTTAAATATACGTATATAATATATATATATATCATATATTTCATATATGATATGATATATAGAGACAATGCACAGGAACCCAATCAGGACTTGGTTATCTTGGTTTACTTCCATTCCACAGATTTGGAGAGCCACCACATAGCGTGCCACCGTTGCCCAACTGTCGCAGTCCAGGTTCTTAAGCTCAGCCGAGGAATCAACTATCACCAGGATTGGTCATTATTATCAATGAAATAATGAATACGATTAATAATTATGAATAGAGAAACCAATAGACTTGTATATCATATCCTCATCATTCAACATTCTTCAGTTTGCGTTCCAGGTGTTCATCCCTAAAAATGGGGATGATGATCTCAACCTTGACATTTTTCTGGCGTTTCTTGGGGGTAGTAGTACTGCCCTGCGTCAGTCGCACCATGGCCAGCCATGCGCCGTGCTGCTGTCGCCCTGGCGCGGCGGGTGCATCTGATCACCTGCGAGGAATCGGCACAGCAGTGGTGCGAGAAATACCTGGAGGCATCAGTTGCTGGGAAGTCAGCGGGGAATTCGAAGTCAAGTTATTACAGTTGAGGTCGTTTGGAAAGGGAAGTTCCGGATGGTTTTTTGAGGGGTTCAATCATTGTTCAGAAGCAGTCGAGAATGGCACGTTTTGATAAAGCTGAGGGGATGGCGGTGTAGCCTGCATGATTTTGGCAGGGATTTTGAACAGCATTCAACACACCGGGAAGAATCAGTTGCATTGGGGACTTCACCAAAGACATGTCGCATGGGTTGTGATAGACTGCCTTGGCTGGACGGTTGCGAAGGGCTGGACCGTTGTGACCATCATGTTCCGAGAGTCCAAACTCACAAGCCCCAGGACCTTTTTATACTCCCGTGCCGTGTAATTGTGGATTAGCAATCGGTGGTTTCATGTGGTTTCTACCCATCCAAAGAATATGTGTCACTATTCACTATTGTCGTTTGTTTCAGTCATACAGAGTGAAAACGAAACAGATTCTAGGCCCTGCGCAAACAACTCTACCAGACCATTTCAAGCTCAAATAATTAACTGCTGATTATGTCCTACTCTAATTGTCCCATTGTTTCCTCATTTTTCTTGGTTCAATCACATTCTTGATAAGGCTTGGCTACTTACACCTTGTTGAACCATAGTTAATCACAGTTATTTGGTCGGTGGTTTGGAACATTTTGTTATTATTCCATATATTGGGAACATCATCATACCAACTGACCAATTAATATTTTTCAGATGGGTGGCTCAACCACCAAGCAGTTGTGCTTAGTAATCCCAAGTGCAGCCCCAAGGACACTGCAGATGTCTCAGCTTCACATGGAGCCGCAATCGCTTTGGACTGTGAAGGAGTTCGCCTGGGTCGTTTTGGACGCATTTGTTCCTGGGCCTCGAAGGTCCTAAAGGTCCCAAAAACCTCCGTCATGTTTCATCTCTCCATGCAGACATGTCCCATAAAATAAGAAGGTCCTTGGAAAGTCAAAGCTATAATTCATGTAAAATGATAATAATGATTATACATATATGTGAAATTTATATATTAATACACACATATTTATGAATAGATGTATATAACATATATATATATAATACTGTATATAGATGATGGTATTAAATATTATTGCAGATCATAGATTGTTTCTTTAAATCCACGCGGCAAACGCCAGGTTTGATGCAGATGCAGGACCACAACGGCCGCGTGTTGCACGGCTTGGGGCACGGCTTGGGGTATCATCCTACGAGTCTCGTAAGTGGTTGGTATAACCTGCAAGCCATACCTATAACCTACAAGCAATAGCTGCTACGTAGACATATATACATATAAATACATATGTATATACATATTATATATATATACATATGTATATACATATTATATATATATATACATATTATAAATATATTTGTATATATATATATATATATATACATATTATATATATATATAAACGGAATAACATGTAATAAGCCCATGACATGAAATTGGGACTTACTACCCAAACCAGAAGAGTTGGTAAACAGTTCTTCATTGGTCCTCCAAGTCATTGATATCCAGCCTGGGAGAACTGGAAGATCCAAGAACCATGGGGCAAGATCATTTAGTTTTGATTGAGGGGTTGGAGCGCAATCCTATGTGCAAAAAATGTGGTTTTATACCACGTGTTTGTGACTGAATTGAGGGTCTAGTAGTAGAGATATGTAGAGATTATATGGGGCCATCCTACCTTGACATTGGGTACCCTAAAACCAGTGGTTTCCCCATTGGATTAGCTGCTCTCAGGTTGCTGTGTGACGCGCTCCGCCCGGGAGTGATCAAAGCCCTTGGTCCGCTGCTGCAGAGCAAGCGAGTGACCAAGGTGATTCATGACTGCCGAGAAGTTACTCGGATTGATTCGATTTTCTGCTCCCAAGTACATCCAAGTACCAGATCTACATAGGTCTACCAGCCCGAGAGGAACCTGCGAATAGTTTGGGATAGGATAGGGCTATTTTTTATCATGTTGCCACCGAGAAAATCATGTACAGGTTACACGTTGTGAAAACCATCCAAGGCATGGGATTGAACCCCTAAAAATGATGTCGTGGAGCTTCCAACTATTATTGGCTTGTCTCAAAATGAGGGATACCCCCAAGCTTCGGTTTTATAGTTTGGGTTTTAGCACCACCCACCCTCTAGAGGGGTCGATAAGCCTCTAAGATGGCTTGGTGGTGAATCACACCTTTTTTGGGGATACCGGGGGGTCACCCTTACGCAGCTGTATAGTAACGATGACATTTAAATGTGGAGGGCGAGACCGCGACGCCCCGGAGGTAGTATGAAACACCAGTTCCATCCGTAGATTTAAATGTATGGTGTAAACAAATCGGATTCCGTATGTTTAAATGGCCGGGCAGGCCGAGGAAAACCCTTCTCGGAGGTAGTCTAAGATACCAGTTCGTATTTTTAAACATCCGTATATTTAAAACATGTAGTTACCGTATGGAATTGCGACGCTGCGACAGGTGACGATGCCTAAAATATTTCCATTTGGACTGTGATTGGCACTATATTTGATATGCTGCAATGATTCATCCCCAAAGTCAGAATTGATCGCGATGCCATCGGATGTAAAGGCACACTTAAGGAGCCCAATGTTTCATGCCCACCTTCAGTCACCTCTTCGGCTGTATTCCAGGTATGTCAGGGTAAGAAGGATGCAGGTTTCAGGTTGGTGACCCATCAACCGGTTGGCCACATGTTGGACTGACAGGATAGCGCGGCTCTATATCATCAACATGGCATCCAACTACAAGGTGGGGGTGAAACAAATGGGAACAATTGGACGAAACATAACGCAATGATTCCTTCCCCCGAATATCAGATCCAATACTAAGGTTTTGGGGCGGGTACCTGTAGGCAGGCACTGAGAGCGGAGAGCTGCTTCATCCACTTTATTCCCGCAAATTTTGGGCCCATCTGCTCTATCAAAGAGGTATAACCTAGGGACTAGTGCGTCATTTTAGGCACTTTTTTGTTGTTACATATCCTGGTCAGTCTGAAACATGTTGGGTAAACCAGAATGCCTTCACCACCAGGTTACCTTTGCAACTCAGCACAAGGCTGGATTTATCGTAATTTCCCCAGCTGTTTTCCCACGATACTAGTGCCTGGGATATCCTTGGATCAGGATTCCACTTAACTTTTGATCCTATTTTTGCGAAGGTGAAGCCACAAACATGCTGATATACACTGGTAGGACAAAAGTTGTGCTTGTTGAGCTTCCGACAGTGAACTTGTTTGGTTTCTTCTTCTGCACACCCTTTCCCCTTAGAATCCTAGCATGGAGCTGTGTCGTACCCCGGTCGACTTTCCACCCTCCAAAAGCTTATAATCTTATAGATTTAAAAGCGGGTGATAATTGACCATCCCACACCTGCCACACGAAATGGACTTGAAAATGTGATCCGCGGTTGACCGACATGGGTGCTTTGTCAAGCTTTCAAGAAGCATAAACTTTCTTCCTCCTGAAGTATGCGCGGATTGGGGGAAGTCAATTGACCCACTGTAATCATTGCGCAATCCCAATATGGGAGGTTCCTAAAATAGGAGTACCCCCAATCCATTTTAGTAGGCTTTTCCATTAATTATAAAGCATCCAGCTATTGGGGTACCCCCATGACTATGGAAACCCCAATATCATCCAAAATCATCCATTCAGTTGGATGCCCATCGGTGGTTCACCCCCTGCTTCGAGGTATTTTCGACACGCAAGTGGCACATGCGCAGCTGGAGCTCCTTGCAGGGAGACCTGCGTACCAGGCGTCGGCCACTGAACTTCTGCTGAGACTTGACGTGATTGGAAGATCCCCCACAAAAAACAGTTTGGTTATTGTTATTATTGATTATTATTGTCATTGTTATTATTCCAGATTCTGTTTTTTTTCTTTCAGGATTGTTATTGTTAATTCTAGATTTCCGCAGAAATTCTTGGCCGGTTTCATGAATATCCCTATCTGACCTGATTCAGGTGTTTGTGCAAATTTTCGTCACTTCTTGTCACCTATACTCTGGGCAGAATCGTCCTGATAACAAACCCAAGTCTCACATGTGCTTTCAGAGGAAAGAAATCTGATCCATATCCCATAGGATCCATGTATGGTATATATATGCTAACACTGGGGGTATATTGATGGGATCCATGTTACCATATATGGCAGCACCATGGATCCGTCATGGGTATTGATCCCACGGTTCCGCAAGAACTCTGTGGAAAACCACTCACCGCACTGGGCGACTTTTGAGGACCTATTTGGGCGTGGAATCAGAGGCACCGGACCTCAAGTCTCTGATGCTTCAGGACCATCGGCTCAGCGAGCAAGCTCCGTAGATGATGGTTAGTAACCAGGTGAAACTGTCCATAACTGTCCACAACAATAGTGAGCTCTTGAGAGTAGTGAAACACATACAGGAAAAGATAGAACCGGGAGGAAAATGTCTTCAAAACATCGGTAGGGACGGGAGGTTCTACGTATTTTTCCAGTCCCTGATATCCTCCTCAGAGGTCTTTCGGTCATTTAAACAACTGGTTGCAGCTAGTAGCTAGCACTTTGCCAATGTGTGATGCTGCCACCCTGAGTGATCGTTTATGGATGTAATCTTCCCTGAATGACTTTATTTAAAGCCGAACTATCCAGGTGTAGATGGTTGATACCAGTAGGAGTTTGTGCACCAAAACTTGCCAATTTTCATGATTTCATATCGTTGTTCCAAAACTATTTTTCCACCAAAGATTGCCATCTTGTTGGCCTTTCCGAACTGCTGAGCCAGCTTTTCTCCGTTTTTGACACAGCCAGGATGCCAACCTATGGTCTCGAAGGCCCTTGACCAACACCCTGGTGGCCTATGCCATTCAATCTGTGGTGCATCTGCTCAACTTGCGACTGCGGCTCTTAGAAGAGTGTGACAGGACGTTGCGCCTATTAAGTGTGTCTGAAAATGGGGGGATGAAAACCGATGAAAACCCTCAACTGATGGCATTTCAATAATAGGACGACGATTCACCCTCATGTTTAATTTTTGTTGGCGTTGTTGCCCATGCACAGTTGTCATTCTCTCATTTTTTTGTAATCCTGACTATTCACAAGTTTGTGTGAGTTGGGTGACCGGTTTTCTCAACCCCCGCATACCCTCATTTGGAATTCAATTCAGTACTTCAGATACTGTATACCTTGACCATTCCTTGACCTATAAACATGGAGCCAAAGTAACAAAATGATGGGGGTCATTAGTGGGGAAGATCCGGGAAGTCCCAATGTTTATGGGTAAATTCAGGATCTAGCTGACAACTCAAGGTATTCCAGGTGCTGTCCGGACAGCCGAAAGCATCAGGAGAGCCGAAGCCGAAGCTGCCAGCCTCAAGAAGGACTGTTTTTTTTCTCGCTGGTCATCTAATCTGGCTGGGACAATTCCTATAATCAATCAAAATCAATGGATATTAATGATATCAATGGAACATCACCTGCTTAAATGGAACCTAGAAAAATTATGATCAATGTGGATTGTTTTATGCATTGTCTCGTGGAGGACATTGCAGAAGCTTCAACTCGTGCAGTGAGTTACTGCTTGCTGAACAGCGAGTTTCCTACAGCGGAGAGTATGGTGCCTTGGGATGGGATGGATATCGTAGGTGGGTCCTACTCAGACCAAATCAGGTGGTTGACCCAATCCAAATCCCACATTTGATCTCAGACATGTTCTATTGTGCTTAGCCCTGGCTTCATATACTACACAGTTATTTTGCTATTGACTCTTGATCTCATTGCATTAAAAAGCAGGACTATACCAGGCTCTCTTGGGATGATCCAAGTGAGGAAGCATGCACCATCCAAGCACCCCGGGTTGTGGCGTAAGTTGGCTTATAAGCCCATCCAACTAGTATATCTATGTATATCTCAATCATCATATTTAGTACAACTATATCTCAAAAGAGACCTACTCATAAAGGTAGTACAACTAAAACGATTAATCTACATCATATATATTCGTATATCAGTAGATAGTTACCTAACTATAAAGTTGTACATCATATTATATCATATTCACATATATGAACTACCTTCTTTAAGGGGACCATTTTAAGGGGACCACGTTTCTTTTCACCCGGTCCTCGGTCCTTCGCCAGGCGAAGACCGGCACCCGACTTTGGGCCTTGATGGCCTCCCGCTGTCCTGAGTCTGTGCTCCCAGGGCTCTGAAAGCCACTGGTGAGTTACACCAAAGCAGTTGACTCTGCAACCATAAAAAGTTGGAGATATATTTAGAATATCTGGGTGGACAAAAAAAAACACCCATTTTTTGACCATTCTAAATTAGAATATCCCCAAATACTGGGTGTAGAGTGTGTAATCAAATCCAAATGCTGGACAATTGATTGTTGATATTTACCCATTAATGTGGAAAACCTCACAAACATTTGTTTGATGGCTTCTCGTCATACGACCTCAAAATGGCAGCCTAGGTATGGCTTGCTATAGGGTTTACGATGTTTTTCAAGTTTAATTCCTTTTAATGATGTTTTTGTTTTAACTATGTGTTTGAGAATCACAACACTTGTAAATAGTTGACGCATCGACAGATCTCCGCAATTTCCCAGCATTCCAGAGGATTTGGATCCATGGCGTTCCCTATTCTTGGCTAGACCATTTGTTGTTGATTTGTGTGATTTCAAAAATCTTGGAATCATCATTTGGTACCGGTATTGGTCACATGATGTTGTTGTTTTTAAAACGCATCGTTTTTCTTTCAGATTTGCCTCATATATATATATATATATATATGGCTCCTTACATCATTGTTTTTCCTACATGGGTTGGTCATATGTGTGACATTTCCGTATTTGCCAGCTATAAGATCTGGATAAATTATAACGACCTCACGTCGCGACCTCACGACGTAGTGATGGTTTTCATGAGGGAACTCATCCCACAATAGATCACAAAAGCCTAAATTCAGGTTCGTGAATGATTGCAACTTATCCAGATAGGATGTTACACTGGAAAAGGGGTCAAATAATACGATTCGTGTTGAGTCAGTGATGGACTTGACATTTGAATGTGGAATCTACCTCTTGGTGGTCCTGTTGACCCGTGCCCATATAGGTTGAACTGTCTCATGGAGCATACTGGAGCCTATTCCATCAGACTTTCAACTATGTTAGCCGATAATTACTGATTTTAGCATCACATTTCAATACCCCCCAGTACTAAACCCGGTGTTTTGGAGTAGGTGGAAAGAAGTACATACATATATATATATATATATCTAGTATTCTATAGTTTGTTTTGTTTCTATCCCGCGGTAATTTGACACAGCCATCTCAAGTTACCCACAAACGTAGATGATTTACTCACTGTTTCCATGGCCATGTTTAATGGCTATGTCGGATTACCAGAGGGTATATCCAAGTATCAAGTTAAATCCCCATATGAGTTGATTAAATCTCCATATATTCCCGCTGAATTCCTACTATTTCCCAATGATAGCTAATTAGAACCAATATTCCATCAATGTTCCATTGATATCCCCATGATCGCAGAAATCTATGGGACTTCTCATCCTTATAGGAATTATCCTCAATGAATTATTCCCATATTTATACACCCCATCATTATCTCATTTGAATCCCATGTCCCATGTCCATATTGCATTAATACAATCTATAATAAGATCACCATTGACTATCACCATCACGATTATCCCCATGAAGTCTACAGTTTGCCCTTCTGTAAACTGTAACAGGTCGATGTGGAGTTTACCCAGCATTATTTGTAGATCATGGTCATAGGGTTTCCCCATGGGCACATGCTTTCCACGTCACCACGTCACCAGATGTTTTTGCAGGAAGCTGGTCTTGAAACTGAACGCCGGCCGGGTCGGGCTGGTGACCACGCCCTCCGCCATGCAACGCTTCCAGGCGCCGCAAGGGAAGATGGGGATGGGTGGAAGATCAATGATGGTTTATACAGGTGGTTTTGCCTGAGAATTAAAGGAAGGTCAGAATTCGCCAGTGGATTTTGGGGTATGACGCTGGGTTACTTACCAAGATCCAAGATGATCTAAGCACGTTTTGGGGAGAGTTTGTGTGATATAATGCTGTTATGTAGTGGATAAACAACGTTGTATGCTTGCTGAGTTTATCTCAAAATAGGATACCCCAAAATCCAATGGGATGTCATCGGACATGTTTCCCATTCGAACTGTATTTTATTGGGCTGTACCGCAGTTAATGATTGGATGCACCCTTCTTAGATGTGCATCCAATCATTGGTTTACGATTCACAATGCACATCATTTAGGCGGCCATCAATGCACGGCTTATCTCCAGTTACGCAGTTGGAATCCCCAGACTAACACAGAGGCAAGTTTGGGAATCTCGCCGAGACATGGATTGGATGGATCTTTCTTTGCTGTTTCCGGTGGCTTTTCATGGGATGATCATCACCAATAGCGCTCACTATCAATGACTCGTGCTTTTCAGGTTTGAAGATGTTTGAAGGCACACAAGCTACTCTGAAGTCAGTTATTTGTAGAATGCATAGCACTTGCGGAGTTTTCCTGTCTCAGGGCTAGATTTGTGTCAGGGTCAATGGTGTTTACCCTCCGGATCCCTCAGCACTGCACCCTTGAAGGACGTCGAGTTGGGAGACATGGTCTTTTGCTGCATCAGCGGCGTAAGCATCGTGCATCGGTGGAGACGTTTTCAGTGCGGGGAAGATCTCATCTACTTTTGAATGGGATATATGATAGATGTATTATAATATATATATTTATGTCATTATGTTTGCATACCCTTTTTGGATCCCTTCGGTAATCAAGCATGGCTGGCTACAGTAGCTAGGAAATCCCTTATTTAAAAAAAGTGCTTTTTTGGGAGAATCATCTATCAATGGGCCACGTTCCAGTTCGCTATGTTCAGGGGCTGGTTCACCAACATGGGATGCTCATGATCCTGGATGCCAGTATTCACTAGTCTCCAACTAGTCATTGGAACACCGAACACCAATAGTATATTCTATATATATATATATTATACCACAAAATATCATATGCATAACAATCATATTATGTATATATATATACATTTATGTGTACACATATGTATACAACATACATATGCACATTATGATATTATTATGTACATTATGTATAATATGTAAAATACTTATAATATGTATATATAAGTATATAATATATGTATAATGATATATATATACACTATATTATATACACAGCCCTAGGGGCACATCTATGGAAGCGGGATCCTCATCCCTAGGATGGTCGCTTTCTGTACCTGGACCGTTACGACCACGACTGGGACTTCTTTGATCACCAGCTGCGACCTTCAAACACCCCAGAGGTGCCTTGGTCGATGATTCGGACCCGTCTACCCCTACTTGTGATATCTTGTGATGGGTGTACATCAATGGAAAATCACCATTATTAATAGGTAAATCCACTGTAAATGGCAATTTTAGTAGCTATATATGTATATATAACTGGTTGGTGGTTTCAAACATGGCAATTAAATTTTCCCATAGTATATGGGATGTCATCCCATTGACGAACTCATATTCTTCAAGATGGTTGAAACCACCAACCAGATATGTGGTTAAAACAATAGAAATACACTACCCATTTGGGAATGGTTTATACCACCTATCTATGGGGATTTGGAGGATGGTTTATCATTGTTTTAGCCACATTATAGCCTTTAAACCGTTGATAGTTGGGGATGATTTGTGATTTTGGATCTCCCACCCGGTTGAGGTCCTATAGTTTGGACGTGGTGGCGGTTGGATGTCGTGGCTAACCCGATCTCCCGAGAGCCTGTAAGTACCCATCAAAATGTGGTAATAAGCCCATTAAATTGGTACTTACCATTTTTAATGGGTACTTGGAGGGTCTAAGTCCATTGATGCATTTCGCTTGGAGCTTTTGGAAAGAATTGTGGAAACAGACACGCGATATCTTCTAAATCTGAATAATCCCATCCCAGTATATTATTAGATTCCCCAACGTACTTGTGCCAAAAAAAATATCAAAATAAATACAGGCAGTCCTAAACCAAGTGTTGTTTTAAAAAAATGATAAAAACAATAAAGTGCGCCATACATTGGTCTATATATATATATTACAAACTTCCCCTAAATTGGTTCAAGTGAAAATCCAGAGGACATACTCAATTTGGATGCTAAAACATGGGTGTCCTGTAGTTTTCTCCTGAACCGACCCGGGGAATCATGAATTTGCTGACTGAAAAAATGAGGTCGTCTCACAAATTGGAGCCCCACTTCACCCCATGCCATTTCATCCTAGCCCATACCATGCGTTTTAGAACATAATTGTTTTTATGAACATTGAAATTTGTATTGTATGAGTATACCCTCCGGTAATTTAACATAGCTATTGAAAATGGCCCAGTCGAAATAGTGGATTTTTCCCATTAAACATGGTGATTTTCCAGTTCGTTATGTAAACGTTTACTCTAGAGGGTAATCCCCCATTTTTCGGGTACACAAAGGGATTGTCGCTTAAGAGAACTGCAGGATATTTTTTACCCAAAAAACTTGGGGATAATCATCATCCATAAACTGGGGGAAACCCCCTGATTTCACCACAAAAATGATGATGTTTGGCAGAGTTCCACCATCATTTTCCATGTTATACCACCATATTATACCATATTATGCCATATTTTATACCATATGTTATACCATATTTTATACCATATTATACCATATTATACCATATTATACCATATCATACCACCATAAACCATTCATAAAACATTCATAAAACCACCATGAAACCACCAAAAATGGTCCGGCAGGGATATTCCAACCGCTTCTTCAGTTCCAGCTCGGACAGGTTGGGGTTTATGGCCGGGAGCATCGCTTCAGCTTCTCGGAGGGTGATTTTTCAATGGGTGGAGAATGATTTCCCGGGGAAGTACCCTCTGGTAAACATACCAAAAAGCTATTGTAAGTGGCCATAGAAATAGTTGAATAATAATTTAATAGTTGGTTAACCCATTGATGGTGATTGCTCCATACTTAATGTTAGTTTACCAGAGGGTATCTCCAAATTGGTCTATGTTTGTGTTTGGATTCTAGGCTTTCCTTGCAGATGTGTGTTTTTTTTTGATTTGCAAAAGCAAGGCACAAAAGCAAGCTTCACCGTCTCACCTTGCAGATGTGTGAAATTCTGTGAAACATACTGTACATAATTACCCTCTGGTAATTTAACATAACGAACTGGAAAATCACCATTTTCAATGGGAAAACTCCACTATTTCTATGGCCATTTTCAATAGCTATGTTAAATTACCAGAGGGTAGATATTCTGAGTGAGGCACATGTGTGCTGCAATTGGTTCATCACCTGGATTTCATCCACATGCTGATCAAATCCCGATGTTCCTTTTTTCCAGAATGGGTCCCCATTTTGTTGATGAAATCTCAATTGAGACATTGGTGCTTCAAAAAAACGGCGCTCCTTCGGGGTAGAGGATCAACACTGCTGGAGGCACCTCCTTATTTTCTTCCGATGTTGATCCTCTTCTTCTGCGAGGTCGGTGCACGACGTTGATCAAAGGAGGGGAACCAGCAGTTCTTTTTGGAAGCAAGCGCCCACAATTCTGGTCAAGTTTGCCACAAAACTTCCAATGAAAATCCAGATGCGGGATCAAGACTTGACCTTGCTTGCTGCATGGCCGTCTAGTAGACCAATTCTGTACGTGTGAACTGGCTCAGCAGTTTATATCCGCGCATTTACTGCCGACGGATGAGTTGAGATGTGTTCTCCATTCTGGCACCCCAGAGAGCATACATGTGAGCGTCCTAATTAGTTGGTTAATGTTTGTTTGTTATTTTCTTCAACAAACATTTAAACATTGTTTTATAAATATCTTCATCGTTTCGATAGCCTTGACCATAGATGCCATAGCACCAGGCCTGCCTGGACTCGCCTCGGAAGACAAGGCCAGGGTGGCGGCAGAGCATTTCTTGCTCTATGACTAGATGATGATATTAATTAGATGATTTTAGATGATATTAGATGATATTATATTGGATAATATTGGATAATTCCATTCGTTTTTTCTTGCTTTGTTCAATACAATTTCAATACATTCGTCATTATCGTTGTTCATACAGTGTGTGTGTGTGTGTGCTATCATGTATGCAGTACATATATTATAGACCTATGTTGTCGTATATAAGGATATGTTCACCAGGGATGGTTGTATGTATTCTGCAGCAACAAATTAAATCAAGTCCACTCATGGTTGAAAACCAGAAACAAACTAAAGTTGGACGGAAACATGTTGCCAAAGAAGCTCCTGCACCATCCGCCTGTTCAACATGTGTTCCAAGTTTAAAACTTGTTCATGCTCATTTTTGTGGGTCAATCCGGCACGTGGATCTGGTTGGTTCCTTGCCGTTCATAGCATCATGGGTTTGTCTAGACACAGATAAACGCAGGATTCCCCAAAAATTTCTTGGTTTATCATCATCTTAATGGTGGCTAAACGTAGGGAATGGGGGTTTTCATCAATCATCAATCATCCCATTCCCTCATTCCCGGCTGCTAAGGCGGCTGGCAGCAGCGCCTGGGACGTGAGTCCTGAAGATTTGGGAGATCCTTTCGAGGCCCTGCATCGCATTGTTGGGATCCGAAGGAAAAGGTGGTCATTGAACTGTAGTTGATTATACCCTCTGGTAAACTAACATAGCTATTGAAAATGGCCATAGAAATAGTGGATTTTCCCATTAAACATGGTGATTTTCCAGTTCGCTATGTTAAATTACCAGAGGGTAGTTGTTTTGCAAATAGAATGATCAACATATTATCAAGGTTTTGATTCAGCAAGTATGTTTTCATGGTACTTGATTCTTCGATTTTGGTTGGGGACCCAACGTGTAACCACAAACTCACTGCACATTGAATGCTTGCATTGCAACAAACAGTGCAACCAGGGTTTTATATCTCAAATTAGAGAGAAAACATGAGAAAGACCAGTCTCTTGTGTAGATGTTGCAAGAGAGTGATCCAATTCGTCATTCCATCTAGTCAACGATGAGTATAGTTTTCAGTGTGTGTACAAATATATATATATACACATATGTACATATTATATATATATATATATATACACATGTACAATAAAGCAACTGCATGCATTTGCTGAATAGGTATAAATGTTGGGCTTCCCAGATTGTGAGGCACGCATCTTTGTATACATACATACGCATATATTATATATGATTACATATTATATATATGATATGTATTTAACTTTAAACATAATATATCATCCGGTTGGAAACAAAAACATTTCTATCTAGTCATGGCTTTCCTTTGAAGTTGTTTCTCGTATTGCGCCGCATCAGTTTTTGCACCCAGGACTAGACATGACCAATGTGACCGACTTGACCAACTGAGGGAAGAAAAGGAGCGGCCCGACCCAGCCGCTGGACCAGCTGATGATTGGAGGGTGGATGCAGATATTTCTATATGTTTTTTTTTTCATCCATGTGTAAACCACCCATATTTTGATGGTCACCCATTTATTCTACAATTGGGGATGGTTTACTATATATGTGTAATGCTAGTAAAGCAATGTCGCAAACCATCCCCAATTGTAGCATTTTTGGGTGGGATTGAAACATATTGAAACCGTATAAAACATGATAAAACCATATAAAACCACGGTTTTACCATAATTTACCACGACTTTGGCGTGTTCCACTGGTCCAAAAAGGTGTGCAACAAACCCTTGCGACCGTGGCCGACATCTTTTCACAGCCCCGGGGCCTGGTCAAGAGAATTGACTAGCCGGCCTGTTAAACATACAAAAAGCTATTGAACATGGCCATAGAAATAGTGGATTTACCCATTAAAAATGGTGATTTCCCAGTTCGTTATGATAGAAATAGATGAAATAGTGGATTTACCCATGAAAAGCATGGTGATTAGTGATTTTCCATAATTAGTTATGTAAACGTTTACTCTAGAGGGTATCTAGACTGGAGCAGTGATAAATTCAAGATTATTCAAGATTACTGCAGACTGAGGAACATGATGGATCTGGAATATGGACAGACTCTCCCTTTTTTGTGTGTCTTGAATTTCAGAACTGAATCCATGCAGAGCCATTGATCCGTCGGCATACTATCGGCGCATTGCCATGAGTTTAGCATATGGTTAAAAACATGTTGGAATCTTATGTTTGGGATCTATACGCACGCAAACTTGGGTAGTTTGAAGCATGTTTCAGTTCTTTTCTCGGATACTTCGTTGTTTTTTCACTGCAGCGTTTGACTGATGGATTGTGCACATAACATTTTCGGTACAGCTGATCGGTTCAGAGGGGCTTGTTTAGATCATTGATTTGAGGCCAAGATCTTGCAGATTATCATAGATTCAATCTGGTTCCTCTCAACAAACGCCTTCAGTTTTTGGTTTTGAAGACGATTTTTGTGAACTCACCCGGAAAAGAAGAGTGATGGAGTGATGGGAAACTGCCACTGTTGCTAATCAGATGGGTAAACCACAACTGTGTGCCCTGCCATGACGGCCATGACATCATGGGAAGCTCCTATTGCTGTGCTCAGGCAGCGTTGTCACAGCAGAGCGGTGAGTAACCAACAATGGAAAGCAAACCAAAAGTGGCAGTCCAACCACCAAAAGTGGGAACATCATACCACCAAATCACGGGCATGGGATATGTCATATATTAAAGTTTTATGACATGTTTTAAAACCTGCATTTCAAAGCCATTGAACATGTCACAGGGTCACGGGGAGGCTGTGAATGGGGGCTATATTAAAGGTCCAGGTCATCCTCTAGATTCGCTCATGGATAGATAGCTCAACTTTACTTGAGCTGTGCTTGTATAAACCAATGGGTGATGTGAGCCACATCCCACTTTTGAACAAGTTCGGTGGGTTCAAGGGGGTTTCTGGGGAGGTGCCAATTTAGGTGCTTTCACGCGTCTTTCCGAAAGATATTGGACAAGCCGCAGCAAATTCGGCATTTTTTTCGGCATTTGTCCATGCCAAAAAAAATCGTTTTTGTTGGTGATTAAATCATATTAAATCCCTCTTTATTGTTTTAATCCCATACTTTGTGGTTCAATCCCATCACCCGCAACTAGAGCCTGCCGTGTTTACACTTCCCTGCCTTGCGAACCTCGTTGTCTGATATCTGCAGGAAGCGACCAACGCGACCAGAACCTGAGCAGCAAACACTTGGTAAATATGGGGAGCCACCAAAAAAGTGAAGTGCTACAAACTCATCGTCAAATAGACTCATTCTCACTTGAAATGTCTTGAATTTGGTGTATTCATCCCTATATTTTCGACAATTTGTTCAATCACAATCATATTCCATTTTGGAATACAACATGTCACATGTCCCAGATCATCTATGGGTATATCATATGTAAATATGCAGCTACGCTGCTCCCAAAGATGACTCATTCCATGTAACGAAAAAACTTCCAGCATGATTTTATATCGGTTTATCATGTTTTTATCTCCAGCTTGTCTCATTCTCATCCACAATCATCCACATCTTTGTTGGTTTTTCACCAGATCAGTCGTTAGCTCAGCCGGCGACAACTTGGAAGCGCTGGGGCTGCCCATCTTGGCGGACGAGACCTTGCAGCTGGTGGAATTCAGGTGGCCGTTGTCGGGGGGAGCTGATGTGTTTTTTCCGAACCTCAACTATAGTGACTATAGGAACAGATATATATAAATATATATATATATATACACATATATAAGACTGTATATTTTAATCATAGTTGATATGATCTTGACTTCTTGTTCTTACCAGTTCCTCCTTTTTTGGCAGTTGAATGAATGGAATTCGACAATTCCCGGAACGAATGGGTGATAGACGCTTCTTAAAACCTCTAACACCCACTGCAAAGTGGGGTTATAGAACCAGTGGTAGCTGGTAAGAGTGGTGGTTTTGGACCGTGGACCCCGCAGTTATTCATTTCGTGGGGGAAGCGGGAAGTGGAAATGACCATAAATGACCTTTAAACATGAATTCACATTCTGGAAACGGATATATCATCAAATATGTTCAACCAGAATGAAAGGACAGAGAGTCGTTCATAATTCTCATATTTCAGTCCTGATATTAACATTTTACTTAAATAGTTTATACCAGGTTTTCTCGAAGAAGCAAGCGGTAGATCAGAAGGGCATTTTACTCGCACTGGATTGATGAATCCATTCCCGAAATCATAGTAAGACTACAGAGAAACAGCAAATTTTTTTACGCCTAAATGAACGGTCAAAAACCAAGTCAGGGTCGACTTGAGGCGGGGCAATTCTGTTTTTTGGGGGGAAGGCTACTTCAGGACCTTGAAATCGACCCTCCAAGGATGTTTTTTCTAGATTGTCACTAGCTGAAATGAAAACGTGTGATTTCCGTTTTGGTTAGAATGGGTGATTACTGTATAGGGCTAGGGACCCCTTTGGGTTTCTCACCAATTCCTGCATCTGATAGGATGAGAATTTTATTCTGGCCTGAGAAACACAACAACACGATTCCAAAATGTCCGCAAAATGGGTTGGCAATCGCCATCACACGGTATTCTCCATTTCTATCCATTTCTCCCATGACCCAAATTGTCCCAAATCCATTCACCGCATGTATCCGGGTTGTCCATGTGTCCAATAAACATCAGTATCCTTTTTGGATCTACACCATGGCCTTTCTCAAGTGAGTCAAAAAAAGAAGTTGTGGTCGTAAATGTGCTTTATTATTGCTTTATTACAGTATATTTTATTGTTGTTTAATGTTCTTTATTTATGGTGATTCTGCATCCTATTTACTCATTTGAGATGATGATCTCACGATAGTCTTGGGATGGATTCAAACTGGATTCAAAGCACCAGCTAGATATACCGATCGATTGTGGTTGAGAAGTTGGTTTATCCCTGGATTTGAGTCGAGTCATATCTATTCATATCTAATATCCCCATTTTTTGGATGGTTTGCTCCAGGGAAGTCTGCTGCACCTCTATTTGTTGCGACCTGACCGAGCAAAATGCCAAGGTCTGGATTCAATCCATGGGAGGGGTGATAGAACGAGGAATCCCTTGGTAAACAACTAATAGCTGTAGAACATCACCATCTGAAAAATAGGTAAATCAACTACAAATATGGCATTTTCAATAGCTATGTTAGTCATTACCAAAGGCTAAAGTAAAGTTTATGAACCTTTTTTGTCGCATCTACTTACCACTGATCTTGATGAACTAGGGATGTTTCAGCAACATAGTGACATGGTCTCCCTACATGGTCTCCCTACTCGGCTCAGAAAACATCCCCCATGGCGGTACCCCCAAATGGGATGGTTTCGCCTTGGACCATTGCTGGAATGTGGTTGTCAACTGCTTGTTGGAAGAACCACCAACAACCACCAACAGTATTGACATGTGGTGACGTGATGCTGGTAAAAAGCGATGCTGGAATCTGGGATTGGCGAAAGCACGATTTTTGAAGGGGTTGAAATGGAAGACAGGTTGTTTGCTATTTAGAGAAAGGGTTAGCTCCAATGAAAAACCACTAAGAGACGTAGGTACAACAATAACCCTGTGGGGGGAAAAGACATGACGCAAAATTGAAATGGGAATACCCTCTGGTAAACTAACATAACTATGGATAATCACCATTTTCAATGGGTAATTCCACTATAAATGGCCATGTTCAATAGCTATGTTAGTCATTGCCAGAGGGTAAATCCAAGGTGTTTTGGGTTCTTAGGTCCTCATTGGTTAAAAAAACATTGCAGATGGCCTGAAAACCAGCAACACCAGAGCAACGGCGTGCGTTGAATGATTTTCCCAACATGACATGAACAGGTGGCAGTGAGCTATGACACGGGCAATGTCAGCATCCTGGAGTGACTTAGCAGATATGGCCTTGGCGGACTATCATCTAGAATCTAGGATGACTATTAATTAAAGCCTGGTATGTTCAGTTAGCAAATCATCCTTTCAGTACTTGGGACAATTGACTGACTTGATGTATGCAACTATACTAGTGATATGTGTACACATGATAATCATATATAATCATGATATATATATATATACACAGATAGTGATGACATTGGAGTGCAAATGCACCACATGTATTTATCCTCGCACCTTTGTGCTGGATTGAAAAAACTCGTCAGGTCTTGAAGTCACGCTTGAAATGGGGTCAAGTTGCGAGATGTGGGACGCAGGCAGTATACTGTTGAGTATTGGTAGTGAATTTAATATGCATCTGAGGGATCTCTTTGCATACGGACAATCATGGTAGATATCTTTCAACAAGTCCACTTCTATAAGATACATCACATACACATATATACATTGATTGTTTTTCGATGACAGCTACTGGCAGCTGACACCTGACAGGATCGGACAACAAGTGAGCCAAGTTTAACCGCTCTGGTTTTTTCAACGCTCTGTTGGTGGGTGCTAATTGGTCTACTTCGGGAGAATCCTATTGAATCCCTGCCTCACCGATATGAGGCTAGGTGAAGATGTCGTTGACGCGATGACCTTCGCATGTCCGGCGTGTCCATGTTGTTGGGGTAAAAAGAGCCGACGTAGTCACGGCTTTGATTGTATTGCATATCATTGCATATTGGGTTTAGGTGTGATAGAATGGCTTGAAATCAGCAACCAGACACGCTGATGCGTGCAAAACGTTTCCATATCGCAATATAAACTCCAGTAATAAGCTGTGAAGTTGCAGATTTCTTGACATGTCAGGTTTTTTTTTTTTGAGATTCTACGGGGTGACTTTCCCACAGGGTAAATAGATTTACTTTACGTGTATATCTAGGCCACGAGCCATGGATTTGCGTCGGTAAATCCACCATATGGGGAATCTTTATGGAGGACTGTGGTAAATCCAATGCCATTTTTACCATCCCCAACATCAATGAACAGGTCGTAAAAAACATCCCCAAATGGTACGTCCGTTTATTATAGTGTTATTGGGCAGTTACTACATTATGTATTTTTTTTCTAAGCGCAATTTTTGGCATATCCAAGCAATGGCCAGTTTGCGAGATGCATGGCCCATTATGTTAGTGCTTTTCTTGTCATAGCTTCAGGAAGCGCTTTTGGCAATGCCGCGCAGCGCAGGTAGCCAGGTGGACAACAAGATCAATACCATGGCAATGCTGCCCAATCCAAGGCGCAGCATTAGTCAGTAGCGAAGCTTGAAAGTCAACGTGGCAGTGTGTCAAAACCTTGTACCCCTGTAGTTCACATCAAAATAGCTGGTAAATGGATGTTCATCCCACTAAAAATGGTATTAATAGGTATTGATCCATACCCACGTGGTGTATCATTTCACCTCCGGTAATCAAACGTGGCGTTTTGGAAAATCCCGAATTGGGGTTTCGATGGGAACATCATGGGATTTTCCATTGCCATGTCACCGGAGGGGACGTTTGATCTTGGATATCTTGGTGACTGGCATCATGATTGATCCAAATATATCCGAATACTGTCAAACTTATGACCATGTTGTTTTAGGAATGTCAACATCACCTAACATGAACCAGACACAATCCAAGGGTGATTCCATTCCAAGGCCAGAGCCGCGTCGAAATGGGTGAAACATGTGAATGTTTGTAGTGAAATTAGTGAAGGAATAGGACATGACTTGCCATCCTACTGATTCCTACTCACTTGTGTCCTCCATGGACCCTGGGTCTATCCGACATCATACACACACTATGTGGGTGTCGCTGCAGGCTGTGCCGGACAGATGAGACGTATTCGAAGCAACACATCTTGGTTGGGACGGAGGTTGGAGACCCGATGTCGATGGGTTCTTCATCACTGGCACTTCATATTGAGGGAGCCAAGAAGCCAGAATTGGGACTTGAAGAGCTATGTTACCCTCAAAAGTGTGAGTTGCGATATATGGGGTCAAATATATATATATATATATTGATATATATATATATGTACATACACACATTATACATATCATTATATATAGATATATTATACACATACATACTACATCATACTACAATGTTACAGTATATTAATGATATGAACATCCACGCAGATTTCCTTTGAAGATATCCCCCTAAGCAGCACATTTACAAGCCCCATCTGCAGGCTGGAATCGTGACTGATTGGATGATGGACAGGTGCTCGACAGGATGTTGAACTGTTCAAACGCTGACAACCACATAAATAATTTTGGTCAAAACGGTTCCCTACGAACGGAATTATTTCAGGAATTAAAATGGCCAAAGTGTCGGGATCCATAATCTTAAACTTTGATCCGAAGCCTCAAGCGGTTTCTTGCAAGTGAACCCTGCAACCCATTTGACCGCTGCCAAGTCTGGGAAGATTATTGACTGGATCAAATTTGAGTCCAAAGTCTCAAGCAACTATGTACAAAGAGATTACGAGCATCTGAATGTGGGTGCTTTCATTAGATCAAGACATTTGCAAAGCAACCAAACAGGTGTGGCTTTGCAGCGTGCGCCGCTAGTGCTGGCAGGAACTTGAGTGATCCCTGCCAGTGGCAAGCGCATTCGAAGTCTCCCCTGGCCTCAGGGGAACCCTCAGGTCGCCTGTGAACCCCGGATGATTAGTATTCGGGGAATCCTCAAATAGCCTTGTTTTCAGCTTGATAAACATATATGTAATTGACCCAGAGTATTGCATCCTTGAGCTGCTCTGTTGGGAAGGTGCCCTCAATTTTATCAGCAGTTTGTTTACCGGTTCTAGTCCACCCTGAAGCTGAAGCAGCATGCGTAGGGTTGCGTAGAGTACATTCTAACAAGACTTGGTGGTTCCACAGCTACATTCGTAAAATCTTCCCGGCACCTCCCATCATTGTCATCAAAAACATGTTTGATTTGCACTTATCAATGGATTGGTTTAAGGGAAATTTTACAGGAAACCATGGTTTTTACCATTAAATATAGGGCTTTCCTGTAAATGTTCCCATCATCCAGTTCTATGAACTTACACATTTGATGACCCTTTGGTAATCTCACCTGGATAGTCTTCCCCTTTCTTTCCACTTTTTTGGGAGTTTTCCGGCCTGGGACTTTGATGTGTTTTTCTTGGATGGCTTAAAACCTTTTTTCCACAAATGTACCATGCTTAAAATAAGTCTTATCCAATATGCAAGTAATATACCCTCTGGTTATGTCAAAATAGCTATTGAAAATGGCCATAGAAATAGTGGATTTTCCCATTAAGAATGGTGATTTTCCATAGTTACGTTAGTTTACCAGAGGGTAACATCCATAACTTGCTGCAATCAACGTTTGGAAGTCCTATCCCCTTGGATGTTTTGGAGATGTTTGGAGTCAGGCGTCTCTGCTTTGAGTATCGGCTGCAACGAGTTTCTCTCCAGCGGAGCTGATGGGTCCCTGTGCTTCTGGAGTGCAGGTGAGCTGGTCATCAGAAAAGCAGACATCGAAACATATCCTGATTGGAGGTTTCAATTAATTTCTTTTGGTGATATGATGACATTGAACCCATGAGTGGCATGAAAAACTATCCTGCTTGGGCTGATATTTTTTGTTTCAACCAGAATTCATGAGCATTTTCCATTGCGATGTTTTCCCTTACCCGAGGGTGAATGCAGTTCAGGCCTACGACAGGGCGATCGACACGTCTTGAGGCAGGCTGCGGCTCGTGCTTGGTGCTGGTTGAGGAAATGTGATGCAGAATCAACACTAGTTGGAAAGTATTGCTGCACAATTGGGATAGGTTTTCTTGTCAACCAAGAATCGAAGATTGAAGAAAGAATGGGACAACTAATGGGAGAATCAACAACCATATTAATAGTTGTGGGTTATAGTTGTATACATGGTTAGATGGTTATATACTACAACAATGACTATCCCACTATATCCCACTATTAATAGTATTAATATGTCTTAATTGTGGGTATAACAATATCCCACTATAGTCATTGTTATAGTATATAACCATCTAACCATTAATAAATAACCATCTAACCAATGGTTAATAAATCCCACCATCTAACCACTGTTACCCAATATGATGTTCGATATCTTCCAAGCCACTGGAGTCCTGGCCGAAGCCGAGGCGCGAGGCGGTGAATAGTGGTCTTCTGTAGGAAAATCCAACAAACCATTGAAAGGTGACCATTCCAGCCATAAATTTTGGGTTTATTTATGTTTATTTTTTGGGTTTGCTAACTACCAAAATTACGCAGAGTTACGTTTTTTGTTTGCTTCTTCAGGTGTCATTCCTGAAAAAGGGTGACCTTTGGGCGGTGAAATCATGTCATAAATGCCCATAATCATTGAATCAAAGGTACTTAGAGCCTCCAAGTAGCCATCAAATTTGGTTTTATCGATGGTAAAAGTCCCAAGTCCAATCCGGGATATCCCCATGTAGTAGTACCATGTAGTACCCCCAATTTTTTATGGATGGTGTCTAGGTGCATCCTTCCATCATCACATCTGACCTGAAAAAAAGAGGCGAATTCTGCCGGCCCACCGCGGGGCTGTGACCTGCGTGGACAGTGCGGGAGCGAGGCAGGGCTCGGCAGGGATGCCCAGTCGTCACCATGGTTGTTTTATAGTGGATTTAATGGGATTTATAGTGGATTTAATGAGATTTTAATGGGAAATTCATGGGATATACCCTCTGGTAAACGTTTATGGAAAATCACCATTTTTAATGGGAAAACTCACTATAAATGATCAGATGATCAACCTACCCTCTGGGTAATGACTAACGTAGCTATTGGACATGGCCATAGAAATAGTTGATTTACCCATTAATAGCATGGTGATTTTCCATAGCTATGTAAACGTTTACCAGAGGGTATTTTGTGGTCATCCATGACTTGGATAATTTGGGGTACCACTACGGAAACCTCCATATATAGTGGTAAAAGGCTATGTGGCTATGTTCATATAGTGTGCAGCAGTGCTGGGTTTTTCCACGCCTAGCCCCTTCTCTCTTCGTTGACTGGTCTGGTGTTTTTTTGCATATAGTGTTAATTCATGGCATTTAAGTGATATAGACTATAGTCACTCGTATTTACTCATGTATGACTACGTATATACTATAGTATGCCATATTAGTAAATACATATAACAAATATAGCCTATAGTCTATATAGCAATAATTATACCAAATGACGACAATAGTAATGCAGAAGACTATACTCTGTGATAGCATTCACTACTGTAATGAATATAACTCATGTATACACACATATATAATAGTATCTTAATAGTATCTTGACAAAAAGTATTTTGAACCTACAAAAAACATAATAGTTTTGTTCATGTTGTTATTGTAATTCTCACTGCATGTCTGAACAAATCCAATCCTGGGGGAGTAAAGTCTCAACCGAATATGATAGAGCTTTGAACGGTTGAATACAACGACATTGAAATCTCCGGGTGGGGCAATGGGGCCTCTGTCTCAGGCTTTTAGTGCTGGGCAGGCCAGGATCCCAGATGGCAGGTAGACAGCCAAGAAGAACGTGTGATGTGAATGAAAATTCCGAATGGGAACATGAGGTACTAGACATATCTAGATCGATGTATCTAGATGTATAATTATTAAATTATAGTGTATACTGTATACTTGTATCTAGATATATCTAGGTATATATATATATATGGTATGTATATATATATATATATGGTGTGTATATATATATATGGTGTATATATATATATGGTGTATATATATATATATGGTATGTATATATATATATGGTATATATATATATATGGTGTATGTATATAGGAATATAATCATGAAAAATAGGAACTTAACAGACTCAACTATAAAGAGTGAGAGTGGGATGATGAATCTCATCCCTCTAACATTGAACACCCCCTAGATGGTTTCAACATGTTTCAAATATGTGCAAATCCCTGTCAATAACCATGGTTTCTGGTGGGGATGTTTAATGTGAATGGGATATTATATATATACTGTATATATATATATATTCATATTACAGGTTTCTCCAAATCAGGTGATAATAGCCTTCCTTGGTTTGATTTAGTACACCTTAGTGCCAAACAAAGCCAACCATATACGGATGTGTGTGAAAGTATACTCTGAACTCGCCATTTGAATCCGGAAAACGATGAGAAACCAGTGTAAATCATGTGTTGATCCATACCCCATAGGACCCAGTTGGACATGGGGGTTTTGCCGCGAAGCTCAGGATGGACATGTGCGCTACTGGGCAGAGGAAAGCTCTGCTGAGCTGCCAGAACATCTTCGAGATTTTAGGGACAGGAGAGCTGTGAGGCGGTGACCTCGACCTAGATTTGTAGATGTTTCATGGTGGGTAAAACACAATAATAAACCACCCATTTGGGAATGGTTCATACCACCTATTTATATGGTGATTTGGGGGATGGTTTATTATTGTTTTATACCTATAGATATATGGACTATTATTGTTTTACTGTTATTTCATAGCACCTATTTATGATTGCTTCACCTATTTACGGTTTATATACCCCACATAGCTCTAAAATTCTAAATATGGGGTAATATACCCATGATTTTGGGACTTTTACCCATGTTTACGGGTACTTGGAGGGTCTGCGTGGTGATCAGGTAGAATCATCCCACAATTCCAGATTGGGTGCTTGGAATCAGCAACTTCCAGAGAATGTCTCTGCCATCAGCCCTAGCCAGTTGCCAGAAAAGGTGTCATCCTTGCTTCGTTTGAGGTCTACAGAGAATTCAGGCGGCACATTTGAGGAAACTGAGGGTAAGTGTCAAAAGGGAAGCAAGGGTTCTCGGATCATCTTCAGCATTTTTTCACCTTTTTAAGTACCACAAGCCCAAGACCCTTCAAGTACCTTTGAAAAAAAGGTCAAAGTCCTAAAATGATGGGTACATTACGTACTTTTTGTGCTCAGTTTAGATCAATTTAATATGGGATATATCGGCTTTCCCCCCTCATTTTGATCCAAAAAATCATCCCAGCTACAGGAGCCCCCTGGCGCCCATCGACTGCATGTGCGTGGTTGCGTGGCCCCAGATGCCGAGATCTGCTGCTTTCAAAGGGTTGCTTCAAGGGAAAAAAACAAAATGCTGGTGAAAACTATGGTCTTTGTCCAGAGTTTTTCTCATCAAGGGGGGAACAATTTTATCTGTGAAACACTCTAAATGTTCCCTTCAAATCTAGGATGGTTGGTGGTTCAGCTTTCAAAGTTCCTTATTTCCATCCCAGGTGGTCCGTAACGACCCATTTGGTGGGGTAGAAATCACTATGACGGCACCGTCTACGGAATTGCCTGCATGCTTCTGCCAACCAACAAATACTTAGAGCCTCCAAGTACCCATGAAAATTGGCAAACATCCCAAATATATATATATATATTATTATATTATATTATATTATAATATATAACTGGTTGGTGGTTTGGAACATGTTTATTTTTCCATATATTGGGAATAATCATCCCAACTGGCTAATATATTTTTCAGAGGGGTTGAAACCACCAACCAGATAATATGTATATATGATAATTTATATTTATAATAGTAATAATAATAATAATAATAAAATATATATATATATACACATATTATATGTGTAATTATATATATACACACACACCTTTTTTATGGGTACTTGGGGGGGTCCAGGTAGACAGAAGTGCCAGTCTTTGTGTTCTTTTCCCTTTATGATCGAGGGGTCACGCAAGGACAGACGACTTTCTCGCATTCTGGCTGGATCCCAGGAGATGGGGAGAGAGGTCTTACTCCTGGGTGGTCCTCACTGTTGTCTTGGGTTTGACCTTTAGAACCCTGTCTTCTCCAAAAAGGGAGTGTACTATCTCATTATAGCTTTGTAAAGAACAAGTTTGTTGACTTGGCTGTTGTCATTTGAAATTCTTACTTATACAATCATATATATATATAGCACCCCAAGAAAATATAGAACGGTGTTTCCTGGATAGATTATACCTGCATCATCTGTCCAGGTTTTCCACTTTTCTATCTCTTTTGGGGTCACTACATATCATAATGTCATTTACAGTACATCCCATTAAAACTCACCAAATTTCCTCATTCATTTGAGGCAACCTGCCTCGCAACAGCAGAGGACGGTTATGTTCGCCTGTGGGACACGGATGTGTGGCGCGCCACCAAGCGCCTGGTTGCCCTGGTTGTCTTTGTTTTTTGGAGCATGGCAGGGGGGATTGTACTCTGATCAATCGGGTGTGTCTGAACATGGTGACTTAATATGACTTAATGGCGATATACTCTGATCAATATGGCAATGTCTGAAAATGGTGATTACATTTGTCAGTTTTTCCACGTTGCAAGATTGGATTCTGCAGGAAATGGTGATTTAATGAGGAGAAAAACCACATGCCAAACACACCACACTTTCTCAGCTGTCAAGATCATCCATACCTTGGATGTTGATCCCTCATCTGCGAAACAATTTTTGTGATGATTTGGTGATTTTTTGGGGTGAAACAACCAGGTGAACTTATGATATATATATATATATATATAAATATCATCATATATCATCTTTGTACATCTTTGATATATAGATAGATCCATCTATATGTATATATTTGATGGACCACATCTTTGATCATCGGACTCGTTTTGTTTCGGCTTCCATCGCCTGCTGTCTTTGTCGTCAGCCTTTCTGAGGGGATGGCCACATCTCAGCTCGGGAAAACACGCGGCTCGGGGCTCGATGACGTTTGTCATTGAGGGTTTGCCGTCTGATCCGCTGGAAATTTGGGGAATAAAAAGAAGACCATGCAGGGTTTGCCAAAGGAACATTGCTGGTTGGTGGTTTCAAACATGTTTGGAATTTTCCATAATATATGGGATCATCCTTCCCATTGACTTTCATATTTTTCAAGATGGTTAAAACCACCAACCAGCATTGACTCGTTCTCTTGATTTGAGAAAAGACTGGAGTTGGAGTTTCCGTCATTGAACATAAACTGGCTCGTGCAAGTTGCCAGTTTTGCAACTTGCATTTGTTGATAGGGACGAGTTGATCTTTTCGTTTCAGGAAGACAAGGATTACGTTTGAGATCATTTGAGTGTATTTGATTCACACTTTTCAGATGGCTGGCACCCCCTCCAGCAGGGCAGCCAAAGATTGAGGTCAAGGTTTCCTCCGTTGACGGTGCAGATCTCAAATTTGGCGTAGAATACATTTTTCACTGGATAATTCACGGGTGTCAGGCACAAATCCAAATCCTTTCAAGCGGCCATTCTATTGATTTATTCTGAGGCTGTCGGATCTCAAAGCAATCAAACTTAAGTACTGGGGATATCGGGGATATCTGGGGATTGGCGAGTCGTTTCGGATTCTGCATGATATCATGCTATCTTTGGTGGTCCAGAATATATGTTGATGCCATTTCAGTTTAGAGGAACCTTTATTTAACCAGTAAATGGAGAAGGACTATAAATGACAGCAACGAATTGCATCCAGAAACAAATGTCTTGAGAGTCATTTGACATATTTTGACATCATTGGACTTCTTTGAGGGACAATTTTGGTGCATTTTCCAATGTTTTTCAAGATTTTGGCACGAAACCGCCCCTTGGTTTCCACGGCACTTCCCACGTTGGCCAGGCAGTTCGCTTCAACACCGCTGAGGCGCCGTGGGTTTGTCGGCTGGATGATGTGAAGCAACACATATTAATGGGATATGTTTTATTCATGTTTTATGAATTTCTATGATGAATATGATGGAACTATTTGATGATATTATATATATACAGTATACACATAGATATGGGCATAGTTTGGATATGGAACTGGATCATGTGCACTGAACAGATGCAGATCCACTGGTCGCGTACCATTTTGGAGGCCTCGTACCATGAGTTTGTCAGCGCTGCGGCCGACGGTCCGGTGACTGAGTTCACCCTGCTGAATGGCATATATTCCATATGGAATATGTACGAATATCTATCTATCTATATAATTCTATTTATATATATATATATGGATCTATCTATCTATCTATCTATCTATCTATCTATCTCTATATATATATGTACTGTATATTACTGTATACATATATATATCTATATATAATGTTGGATCTTGATTAGTGTAGGGCCCCCCAAACAATGCATATAGTAGGAAAAGTTGATGGAACGTGGTTGGAATAGTTTTGGATAATGATCTCAAGTAAGGATTTAAGGATTTCAATTGATGTCAAATTACTTTTACTTGATTTTCCATATAATTTAAAACAATACAATATAATATACATATAATATACAATGTGGTAAAATCTTCATGGATTAGGGTGATTAAAGGATATTAAAGGTAGGAAACAGTCCCAGATTCAAGACCTAGCAAAACATGTGCTCAATAGATCCGATGTTTTCGCAAAAAAAAACAAGTAAACCCAGGATTGATCATAGACTTTTTGGCATATGAAAAACCACTTCCAGATCCAAAGAGTCCAGATCCGTGAGCCTCAAAACTTCCCTGGATCGGTCCACTGGATCCATAGTCAATGGTGGAATCAACATGAGAGTGGTGGGTAACATGGGACGACATGTTGCCCATATGTCATATATGTTCATTTCTGTTCAGAACGGGCAACAGATGGAACAAAAACATCTGCGGATTTTTCTTTTGCAAAGATTATAGATAGATTACCAGAGGGAAGGAGGTGATGAATCCCTATTAGCCTATATATATCATTAACATTCATTAACTGGTTGGTGGTTCAGAACATGGTTTTTATTGTTCCATTAATATTGGGAATACCCTCTGGTAAACGTTTACATAACTATGGAAAATCACCATTTTCAATGGGAAAATCCACTATTTCTATGGCCATGTTCAATAGCAAACTGTTAGTCATTACCAGAGGGTAATCCCAACTGACGAACTCACTCCATCATTTTTCAGAGGGCTAGGGCGAAAAACCACCAAGTCGTCCCAGGCTCCTGGTGTCTGTGGGACCTCCGGGTGCCTTCTCCGGTCAAAGGCCAGGTGAAGGACCCGACCCCCAGGAAGTTTGGGATGGGCAGCATGAAAAATGACCATTTTTTGACTGGGAAATCGATGGTTTTTAGTGGGGAAATTACATGAAGAACGGCATTTGTTTTACGGAATCGATGGTGGAAATGGAACAAGATCATTTTCTTCGATCTTGAATTAGCGTCCAACTGACATTTTGACCCAACCAATCGGCAAGTTTAAGGTTAGAAAGTGGTCTACACCAACCCACATAAATAATTGCCCATAAATGGCAGGTCCTATGTTGCAGGGTTTGGAAAAAGATAAATACCAGTATATTATATAATTATACACATACATGTACTACACCAACGTGTGGAATGGAGCCTGGCAGTACCCAGCTTAGGTGATATGAATCAACGACCAACATCACAGATTCACAGATTGCTCGTTGTCACAAGGTGACCTATAATTGAAATTAATTGAACAGATACAGGAATAGGAAGAATAAAGAATTTCTTTTGGCTCCAGCCCTGGCTCAAGCTTGATGAAAATGATTCCGGCGTTGACCTCCGTTGCGCCGTTTCACGTGGAATAACCTTGGTGACAATGCCGGTGGCAGCAAAATTTGGAGCAGATCCACCCAGATCAAACTTGTCTTGATAACACCGAAACTCTGGAAAACTCAAGACGTTTGGTGCAGGTGTTGCATATTCAAAGGTGTTCAACGACTATGACACCACTTCGGATGATCTATCATTCATCAATGGAAGCGGTTTGGTTCCTTGACAAGGTTCATCAATATGTCCTGCGGGGATTTTCGCCAAAACGCGAGCCAGTTGGTCGTCGCATCGTCCACATGCAGCGTTCAATTAGCATGCTGTGGCGACAAATTCAACCACCGATGCTTATAGTAGTTGAAGGACTTGAGGCCACATCTTCTCCAAAAGGTGGGACCTAAATTGAACAATCGAACGTGGAAAATGGTGGAAAATTCACCATTTATAGACGACTTTCCCACCTAGAAACTTTCATTTACTAGTAGTTCGGGGATTTCCCAGCTAGCCATGTCTGATTACCAGAGGATAATTTCTTGCTCATCGTGCAGCTGCAAATTCTTGGCAATGTGAGCACACGTACCTTGGCCCGGTGATATAGGGAACTCTTGGTTACACCATTTGATCTGCACACGACTCTGCACACGACAACGTTAAAGAAAACAGTTCTACCTTGGAGCTTGCCAAGTTTGCCGCTACAGAAGTCATGGAAGTACCAGCCTGGCTGATTCCAATGCAAAAAGTTGGGCCGCCTGGCCGTTTATGCTTCCACTCAAAGGGTTTGTTTATAAAAAATCGACCATCAAAGTGGCTAGAAACCAGTATGTATGAATATGAGCAGAGGGTCTCTGTCACTTTTCCAAATGATCTATTTGTAAACAACTGCTAGATATTTCGGCACACACCAAATCAATTGCGTCATCCATTCAACGAACTCGAAAGCTCCTGCTTCTCCTGCATTGGAACTCAAGTTTGACGTCGATGGGGGTCAAGCTGCTGGGAAACCACGCCAAGAGTGGAATACGTCGGTCATAAGTTTGCCCTGGGTTGCAGATTGGTCTCAACCATGAATCGTCGCAACTCAACAATTTTAGTGCTATCGTTGCTGAAGCCAAAGTTTCAGGCTCTGCCAAGAGCGTTTCGTTGCAACATTACTACGACAACGCCCGAAGCCCGAATCAATGAAGTGCTGAAACAGCTTAACATGACCATGGTTCCAGAGCCGACACGCAATGTTGAAAGTGTTGGTTTGGAGCTTCACACCGACATGGGCGGGGAACGGATGCATGCGATTTGTTCCAAAATTTGGAAGGTTCTCATGCTCAAAAATTCAAAACGTTCTTTTTCTCCATCTCGGTCTGGCCGCTGGGTTGCTGAGAGTGGACGAACTGAATTTGGGGTTGATATCGTTTATTGACAGACACCTCGAATACAATGAAGGCATCAGAATGGCAGCTCAAAGCGTTTTGGGTAGATTGCCATTGACATTCAATGGCCTTCATTTACGCCTGTCGCATGAAGCTGCCAAGACGTGGAAAATCGTGCTTCCAGACCAGGTGGTGCCAAAATTGATGTTAGTCCAACTATGTCCAAGTCCATTCAAGTAGTTTGACCACTCCAATCTGGCTGGTGGGCCAGGGAATAATTATCAAATCATCTTAGTGTCCATATTTATTTTTACTGTTATACGCTCTTTTGATCATAATAATTATTGTTAGACCATATAAGATACCTAAGTCATCCTAAGGCTAGTAATATATCTGGCTGTTTCATTATTTTCCATCCCACCTCAGATACCTCAGAAGATCTCCATTGACCTCATCTCACTTGGCGACCCGTGTCCCACGGCACGACTCAGGACAGAACTCCATTAATCTCGGTGGCTTTGAATGGGGTCTGGGGGCCTCAGGTGATCTACATGGCTGAGAACTGGTGATTTCCTACACGTGGTGTTTTTTGCCTATCCGATTTGGGGATGATTTAAAGCCGGCTGAGTTGAAACCACCCAATCCAAGCTTGGCAGCTCTGAAGGACGAAATCTGATGAAATCTTGGGGTACAGAAGTGCGCCGGCAGGGGCCTGCAGGTACCATTTTTGGAGCTACAGAATCACTGAAAATCACATAAGCACATAAGCCCTTATCAATCAGTTGGAGAGAACTCTTTATCAATCAGCCAGGATTTATTCGTCCCTCGGGGACAATGTCTTCACAAGTTGTGGGTCCTGGATCTGATACCCGCGGGTTGGTGATCCCGCACCAGGCGCGGCTGCTCACCTGTTCGAAAAGCAGCTCCCTGGCATTGTGGGACCTCCGAAGTGACAAGGCCGGCGGCCTTGGACATGAGGATCTGATGTGATAAAATTCAGGATCTAGGGCCTAGGTACTGGAATTATATGAAATATGGAATTACCATCTGGTTATGACTAACAGTTCGCCATGGAAAATCACAGGTAAACCATCTATATAGATGGGCCATTTTATACGTTCAATAACCAGAGGGTAGTTTTTTTAATATTTTTTAATTATCTCAAATAGCTGGAACATAAGAATAGACTCCTCGTATTCGGAATGCAAAAACCAGAGTACCTGGGTTTCGATATATGGTCTCTGTAGCTTGACTGTAGTGGCTTTGGCCATGCCCAAGGCTTCAAGGGGTGGTTTCTGAGCCCACCAAATTGGAGGGTCTCATGCTACGACACTTTCCCAAATGATGCGTTCATTGTTTACCAACCAAACCCATGCGGCTTGTGATTTCAAATCTAATATATGATAATATGTAATATAATATTATAATATACACATGTATTATATAATATATATATATATATGTATATTGAGTATATATATATATACACATATGAATTCATGTTCCATTCCTGTGCTGCATGTTTGTTCAGTTGAATACATGATATTGAATAATTATATTCATTGGTATTCTATGACTTCACCGCCTTGTTTTTCCCAAGCTTCGCAGCGGCAGTGCCAGGTCTTGCGGAAAGCCCCTTGGAGTCATATCGGCATTGACCCATTTGTGCGTAATTCTGACCCCTCCCTAAATCGATTATTAGGACTTTGCAATGGGAAAAAGAAACACATGATAGTCACAGTCCGATCTCCTACTAATTATTACCCTCTGGTAAACGTTTACATAGCTATGGAAAATCACCATTTTTTTATGGGAAAATCCACTATTTCTATGGCCATTTTCAATAGCTATTTTGACATAACCAGAGGGTAAGTTGTGAGTTGTTACCTCCTTCTGGCAAGGTGTTGGCGATGAACTTCCTGAAGGCCCAGATTTGAGTCAGCTGAATGACGAGGTGCAGCTGCTATGAGCAATGCCCCAACTTTCAGGTACTAAAAATACGGGGAAAACATGTGGTTAGTTTGTGTGTAGTGTTATTTGATATCTAGCTTAAGGGGGAGATATATATGGATATATAATTTATCCAATCATATCCAATCTAATCTCAGAAAATAATAGTAAAACAAGGCTACGGCGCGGTTAGCGACCCGGGGTAATTCATTGATTTTTCATGATGCTTGGTTCACCAAATCATGGTATTTGCAATGTTTTGTAAAAACGTGATAAACATGTCAAATCGTAGTTACTTTGGGGCCTACTACAAAAAGTGCGTTTCGTGTGAAACGTTCATCGATTTTCAATACCCCTGAAACGAATTATTGTTATGAAAAACCGAGCCAGCTACACATTGGAAATTGTTAAAATATTTTTTTTTTCATTTTTTTATCGTTTTGGTTATCATTTTTTTTATCATTTTTTTTCATTTATGTTTTCATTCATTTTTTTTAATCATTTTATTTTTCATGTTTTTATCATTTTTTTTATCATTTTATTTTTCATTTTTTTTCATTTTTTTTTCATTTTTTTTTTCATTTTTTTTTCATTTTTTTCATTTTTTTTTCATTTTTTTTCATTTTTTTATCATTTTTCATCATTTTTGCTTCCAGTGGTGCAAAAATTTTCCGAAAAATAAAAAATTGCAATTTTCCTCGAGTTTTTTTCATTTTTTTATCATTTTTTTTATCATGTTTTTATCATTTTTGCTTCCAGTGGTGGAATTGATGAAAAATGATGAAAAATTATGAAAATGAAAAAAAAAATGAGAAAAAAAAAGAAAAAAAAGAAAAAAAAAATGACAAAACAAACTCGAGGAAAATTGCAATTTTCCAAAAAATGAAAAATTGCAATTTTCCTCGAGTTTTTTTCATTTTTTTTTCATTTTTTTTCATTTTTTTTTCATTTTTTTATCATGTTTCATCATTTTTGCTTCCAGTGGTGCAAAAATTTTCCGAAAAATAAAAAAATGCAATTTTCCTCGAGTTTTTTTCATTTTTTTATCATTTTTTTTATCATGTTTTTATCATTTTTGCTTCCAGTGGTGGAATTGATGAAAAATGATGAAAAATTATGAAACATGATAAAAAAATGAAAAAACAATGAAAAAAACATGAAAAAAATGAAAAAAAAATGAAAAAAACCCGAGGAAAATTGCAATTTTCCAAAAAATGAAAAATTGCAATTTTCCTCGGGTTTTTTTCATTTTTTTTCATTTTTTTTCATTTTTTTCATTTTTTTTTCATTGTTTTTTCATTTTTTTTGTTCATTTTTTTATCATGTTTCATCATTTTTGCTTCCAGTGGTGCAAAAATTTTCCGAAAAATAAAAAAATGCAATTTTCCTCGTTTTTTTCATTTTTTTTCATTTTTTTTATCATTTTTTATCATTTTTCATCATTTTTTATCATTTTTCATCAATTCCACCACCGGAAGCAAAAATGATAAAAAAATGAAAAAAACTTGAGGAAAATTGCAATTTTCCATTTTTTGGATTTTTTTTTGCACCACTGGAAGAAAAAATGATAAAAAAATGATAAAAAATGATAAAAAATGAAAAATAAAATGATAAAAAATGATAAAAATATGATAAAAAATGAAAAATAAAATGATTAAAAAAAAATGAATGAAAACATAAATGAAAAAAAAAAGATAAATAAAATGATAACCAAAACGATAAAAAAATGAAAAAAAAATATTTTGACCTGGCCCAGTCTGTGGCTGCAAGTTTTTCATAAAATTATTGTTTTTTTTCGTTTTGTTGGAGAAAATGAGTTACATCTGACCACCAGTCATTGAGCAACACTTCTTTTTCAACTTACCTTGCAAGGTCTTCAGCACCGACTCTTTTTGGCCAGCTTTCCCAATTCCTTCCACAGGTTATGACCTGAGTTGTGCAAGTTAACATGAACGTTAACATCCCCACCCCACCACAACCCAGTGACGTGACGTCAGTTGTGCATGTGACGCAAGTTAACATGAACGTTAACATCCCCACCCCACCCCAACCCAGTGACGTGACGTCAGTTGTGCATGTGACGCAAGTTAACATGAACGTTAACATCCCCACCCCACCCCAACCCACTGACGTGACGTCAGTTGTGCATGTGACGCAAGTTAACATGAACGTTAACATCCCCACCCCACCCCAACCCAGTGACGTGACGTCAGTTGTGCATGTGACGCAAGTTAACATGAACGTTAACATCCCCACCCCACCCCAACCCAGTGACGTGACATCAGTTCTGCATGCATCAATTTCAAGAGCAACTTGCCTCCAATCAGCAAAAATGGCAAAAACGCAGGGGTCGTGAATGGCGCCGTAGGCTAAAACAAGCAGTTGCTGCACTGCTCACAAGCCGCCCTGATTGAGGTCTAAGCCTCATGCTAGTGTGGTCTGGTTGGTGCTTTCAAAGATATTGGTTCGTTGGTGCGAGGCTGTTATGCCCAGGTCTTATATCATCTAGTTTCAGTACAAATACGTGGAGTTTTATCCCCCACATAATGCTTGATAAGGGTATGAACATGTTTTTTTTCATTCATTCGCTGGGATGCATGTCCAAGCAGAACATGTTGCATTAGAATCAAGATCATGTACAATGGTAAAGTAAACATTACTGTCGTAAAATCAAAGCTTGGATGTACATAATATTCACAAAAGAACCTTCCTAGAGGACAAACATGAGTTCGACGATCGGCAATATCATAATCATGAGAAGTAATCATCCTCCTTGGGGGACCCATATGCAACACTGTGAGATGATCACAGGCACCAAAAGCATCCTTTTAAGTTACATAATAAGGACCGAAGTAGTTTGATGTGACGGGATGTGGGGCCGGGGTCATGGCATTTCTGTGGTGTTTTGCCAGAGGTGAGCGGCATGTCCTGGTGGTTTTGACTTCGTTGCCAAGGGAAAAAAAGGGGCCATACCCTCTCTCTTGCTGGTGTAAGCAGAATTTTCTTTTGGATTTACCATAGATTTAATATTTTTTGGGATTTACAATAGATTTACCATAGATTTGACATTTTTGGGGATTTACAATAGATTTACCATAGATTTAACATGTGTGGGGGTTTACAATAGATTTACCATAGATTTGTTTGATTTACCATAGTTTTTTTGGATTTAACATAGAATTCCAGAACTTTTCGTCCAGTGCTCGCAGAGGTGATTCAACCTGCACGAAGAGTCAGAGGTTCCGGCAGCCGGGAACACAGATGGGCCGGGTTGTGAAAATGCTGATTTGATGGGATATATACATATATTATATTAGCATAAAATCGATGGGATATATTAACTAATAATATTATAGATATTAATAAACTAATAATATAATATATATATAATGCTGATATATATATATATTATATTATTATTAGTTAATTATATATTATATCTATAAATAGCCGCTTCAATACCATATTTTGGAGCGTCTGAAAATGGGTGTACCAGTTTTTTCCCCGAATGAGCAATCTTTAAGGAGAACATGATAATTATATAAGCTACATATAAACTACAGGATTCAGGAAAGCTCTGGTGATTTTTTTTGGTTAGTCGCTGACTTAGACTAGCTATGACTAACTATGACTAGCTGGTGCAATGGTGAAGCAACCGGTAAAAGGGGATGTATCGGGCACCATTCGCCATTGGGTTAAACCGTTAGTATCTCCTCGCCATTCGCTTTGCCAGGAGAGACACTGTACAAACAAAGCGCGATGCAACGCAAGGGAAGCAACCAGGCTCCGCAGCCTGTCAAGATGGATTCCTCAAAGAGTCAAAATGCACCATGCATCCACATGGTTCGTTAGCTTCATAAAATGATTGAGTCATGTGTGTATGTATGAATATGTATGAATATACAGTAATATATATATACATATCATCAGGAGGTACGATTCGTACGATTGAAACTACTGTTTTCAAAGACATATTCATCAACTATGGTTTTTCCCGGCTCAATCGCCTGCTGGGATTGTGAAAAATCTGAAGCCAGAAAACTGGTCACCGGAATTCAACAGAGAGAAAAACTCCCTCGGGGAACCATGGTTTAGTAGATAATTATAAGGTATTTGCACAGGGACCATAATTATGAGGTGTCGGTTATATTAGGAGAATGGGATTGCGTTATTTCAGAATCAAGTCTTGTGAGTTGAACATATTTGAAAGACAAGTTCTGGAAACTAGCTTAGTTCTGTGCTCACCCCCTAAGTATGTCTTGATCTTGACATTTCCTAAAGACTTTGTGGAGCGCCAGCCTTCCAGGACGGTGCTTATGGTTATGGGATGACTGGAGATCGTCCAACTGGCGCCAGGAGTTTCCACAATATGCACATGGCCGTTGTCAAAACTCAGAACGGCTATACGGATGTCAATATGGAAGACCTAGCAAACCACAGATGTGAAAGTCTAGTTTAGTATTCACCATCCATAATTTTGCGGTACCTAATTTTGACCCATACCCATATACAAAGATGTTGCCTCATTTCTTGATTGAGTCAATAAATGTATCAGTATCAATCTAAGGACGTTGGAAAATAGGCACTTCAAAACTTTTGACGAGTGGTCTATGTCAATGCGTTTTAATGGGTTTGTGTTCATCTATATATATATATATATGTGTGTTCATATCATGAGAAGTGGGAATGGCTAACATGTCTCGCTCTGGGGCAGGCCCGTTTGCAATGGCCGACGTGACCAGAGAGCCGCAACAAAAAAGAAACTCTGGACGTGCCTCGTTTCCTGGGACTTTGTTTGAGAAGGATACGGCTGAGTTAACAACTCATGTTTGGATATGTTTGGTACCTTGATGATTTTTAATGCTTATCTATGCTGCTGTTGTGCAAAAACATCTTCGAATACATATTATTACTGTGTTCTTTGCAGTTGAAGCGAGTCGCCACGGGCTGAAAACATCCTGACTTGGGGATATCGCTTTTCAACATGACATGTTCAAAAGCCAGCAAACAATAACTGATGTTAGGCTTCGGAAGATAGTGTGTTTGAAAAATTTTGAATTTGATTGACACAATGACTGAGGATTGTTGGCATTGTAGATTTGTGTGATTCATTATCTAAACATGTTGCGATTTTAAGTGCTGGTTTTCCGGCGAGTCTTATGCTTTTTCGAGTGGAAACTGATCGCAGCGTCCGGAGCGCTATGTTGAAAGGCTGAGGCGCTCGTAAGTCGTAAGTGACAGAAGGTTACCAGAATCAAAGTTGGATGAAGCCACAAAACCGAGAAACACGAGAAATTGAACACCTAAAAAAATGGTTTGGAACCAGAATTGGTGGATAACTGACTTTTATTTCGGAACCATCATCAATGATTTAATGAAGACCAGAAAATCCTCAGAAGTTTTTGCTTCGATCACCCAAACGATGGGTAGATGATGGTAGATGAATACAGCTTTGTCTGAAAATAGGTTACCCATGGTTACCCCAAAAGAACATTTGACATTTGATCATCATTTTCCACGTCGTAGGATTGCCATTTGCCCTTTTTTTTGGTACGATGCAGTTCGGATCCTTGGACTAAAGGTGCAGAGTCTTGGCTCAGTCGCCAGAATGGAAGGGGGAACAGGATGCGATGTTGGAATACCAGGAGTCTGTCTGGGACCAAGCTGAAAACGAGCCAGCTTGAGGATGAAAACCTCAATGAAAACTGTGTCAATATGTCTTAATAAATATATAGTTACAATTGATAATTATTGATCATAGATTGTTATGTTTGAACTATATATATATATCATATAGTAACTCAGAGATGTACATACAATGATACACATATGTCAAACGAATATGTCTCGTCAAATTCAGGTCTATGTTATCTGGTGGTCCACTGAAATGGCTCTTATCAGATGGCACTGGTGGCTGGGATGTGGCTGGTCATGTTGAGATTACTGTTTGATTCTTAAATGTTCTAATATGATTAGTATGATGCTTAGATGTTCTAAAACAATGTTGAGATTACTATATGATTCTTAGATGTTCTAGGAGTTTCTTGACATGTCTCTTAATATCAACGGGTTGGAACAGATTCTAGACATTGCATGGTAATCTGATCAGCTTGACCAACATTTGGTACAGCTCGTGATGCAAATGTGCTGGTTGACTATGGGTGACTATGGGTGACAGACTTTTTAGGTGCAGTGAGGGCTATCTGGGGTGCTTCCTTCTGGAAGATGAAGTAAATGATTTGACTGCGGTGCAAATCTGAAGCATGGATAGATTATGCACTGACTATGCATGCAATCTAACCTTGGTATTCACCGTGAGGAGTTCGTCTTTTTTTTCTTGTGCAACGCAGCATAAGCTTTGCACCAATGTCGATTGAGGATCATTTAGGTTGCTGACTTGGGTTGGGTGTAGCGTTTTTCCCCACCTGCCAGGTGAGGGTCTCTAGATTTTATCAGAGTTGCTTCCGCCTCCTCCGTCCTCCTCCTCCTCCGGCAGCCCGAGAGGTGATGGTGGATTTGTATGATCATTGACAGAATATATGTCAGAATAGATGCCTTGAAATGCCATGGTGGACATGGTGGGGATCACTCGAAGTAAAATAATTATCAGCTGTTTTTATATCCAGTTATATCATGTGTGACTCCCACAGAACGTGTGTGACACCACCCCAGGTCCAACCCACTGACATCTCAAGATGGAGTTGGCAGCCGGGATCGGTGGCTTGCCATCTACTGACGGGAGCTTGCGCTCTAGGATCATAAAAATCATTTCTGGAAAGCCCAAGGTAGCTTGCACTTGCGTTGCGAAGCCTTAAACATGGTTGATGTAGAAATAAGTGCTTTCTATTTTCAGAAATCGGGGATCCTGCGGTCCTTTTCAGAAAGGAAGAAGTTTTGGGCATCCCAAATGTTTGATTTCCACAGGTGCAGGGCACCACGGTCTGAGGGTCTTCTAAAAAAAATTAGGGCCAGTGATACGTAGCGACATCGCAATGGCCAAACTACAATTTGTAAATTGTGTAAATGATATGGTGATATGGTGGTATCATCCCAAGAACTGTTTGTTTCTGTTTCAGCATCAACATAAAGTAGTTTACGAGGTATGCATTGTTTGATCAACAGAGTCCGGAGCTAGGATTGAAGCGCCAATCCCTTCCCTTTACATCGAAGTCCTGGTTTAGCCATGGATTTGTGATTTGGGATCCCATGGGGGGAGGATTACCCTCTGGTAAACTAACATAACTATGGAAAATCACCATTTTTAATGGGAAAATCCACTATTTCCATGGTCATTTTCAATAGCTATGTTAAATTACCGGAGGGTATGATTGCTGGGAGTGTAGATGTGTTCCGAAGTCTTCAAGCGGACCACCGTTTGTCCACAAATACAGTGCGACCCCCTTCCTTTTTAAACCACATTTCATCAAATTTCTGGGGTCCCAAATTGCACTGCTGACTTGTATTCACATGATAGTTGGTAAACATCCTCACTTTTGTTGGTATATAATATAATATCTAATATATAATATGATATCTAATATATGATATTTTATAATATATAATATATATAATAATATACAGTATATATATATATTATATTATATATAATATATTAAATATAATATAATATAATATAATATAATTTAATCTAATTTAATCTAAATTAATCTAAATTAATCTAAATTAATCTAATATATAATATATAATATATAATATATAATATATAATATATAATATATAATTTAATATGATATGACATAATATAACATCACACACATATATATAATATCATATATACACACACACATCATACACATCCGTTTGTTTGGTAGACTCCACGTGGGAACATATCATTGGACCACTGGACAAGCAGGACATCTAACGCCCCAGGTTTCTGCCACCTCTCAAGGAGGTTTGCAGTTTACAGCGGCTCAGCTCCGACCCCCCAAGAAGGCCCAGCCAGGGAGAAACACCTGGGATGGTAGGCTAAAAAAGCATGTTTGACCTCTAGGGGCTCCTGAAAATTCATGAATTTTCTATACTGTTCCCATCATGTTCCTCAATTGGTGGGGGTTACCCTCTGGTAAATAAACATAGACACAGAAAATAACATTTTTTTAATGGAAACTAATCTTCCAACCCCTATCTGGTAGGGTCTATGTTAATTTACCAGAGGGTAACACAATGTTAAAAGCCACTTTTTGCTTGGTTTGGGATTCCCAGCAATTTCCAAGGGGCTCACCAGCTCCTGCCGGGCGCATTAACTTTAGGAAAGAGTACCTTCAGGGTGATCTAACCCCAGGTACCTAAGCAGATGAGCTGTATAAGCAGGACTTGATTGGGCCAGTCCCCGTCTGAATCACCAGTGGGATTATTATTGTACTTATGCTCGTTGTGTACTTTATTGGACTGGCCACCCGAAGCATTGTACTTATGCTCAGTAAGCTAAACAGGGGTTCGTACACAACTGCATAATTTTTTCCCATTTTGCTGGGGATACACATCAAAATTGTGGGTGCTTCGATGATGCTTGCGGGATTAGTCCCAAAGATGACCGAAACCTGAAAAGCACATGTTTCTTTGCCATGGCATTGTGCTGGTCCATGTTGCCCTTTATTGTGGCGGTCTTCGAAGCATTTTCAATGCTTCGGAGTGGAAAACCGAGTCAATTCATACCACCTAAAGTTGCGAGAGTTTCTACTGGAATTTTCATCCCATTTTGGACATGAATTGTTTACGATATGTTAAGATATGTTTTCATTAAGCCAGTACTTAAATGGGATATCCCAGTTAAAGGACTTATTTGTCAGGGTCAGGAGTCATGTAGAATGACCACACTCCCAGAATGTTTCACGGAGTCATGGAGTTTTTCTTCGGCTCGGCTCAAAGAAGGTGCGGAATGATGCTTGAATGTTGTCTATCATGTTCCCAATTGTTACCAATTGTTGCCAATTCCCTTCATTCTGCAGCTCGATCAGCAGGAATATAGCAATTTTCTTATGTGGTACATCGTTGACCACAGCTTTGTTCAACTGAGTGATTTATGTTGCTCAGATTTCATCGAATATCAGTCGTGCTGTTGGCGGCTTGATGAACGGCTTGCCGTTCAAGCCGTTCATGAGGAAAGGGTGTTTGCCATTGGATGTCTCTGCAAATTACGTGATTTTGAATCATGTTTGTGAAACAACTCACAAATTCCAGAAAACATTAATATTTTGATCAGCAACACATATATGGACTTTTTTTAACATTCAATTCCATTTGAATCAACACTGAATCAGAATTAAGTGAGTCTAAATTAGACATGAATCTGAAATAATTCCTATCTCAACACATTCATTGGGGGTTTCAAAAAAAAAGGTGATCCCAGTCGTCATCAGAGGATTCCATCCACACGGCATGACAGAGCTGAACAGCTGCCCCTTGGATGAGTTGCTCCAGTTGGGTCTCAATGCGAACGCAGCGCAGAGGACGTGGGAAAATCCGATCCGGGCGATTTGTGGTCAAGGTTGGTTGGATTTCTGAAAGGTGACCAATGTTTTTGTTGGTTGGATTTTTTGGACTTGGCACGAGATTTGGTTGGTCGTAGGAAGAAGCTGTAGTTATCCAAATCGGGGGTTGCCCAATTTCGATCCTGAACTAATTCAGCTTTTCAGCGGAGGATCATTGACCATCGACCCTTCGGTCATATGGATGAGGTGATGGATGCATCTTGGATGCTTAGCAGCTAGTGTCAGGGAAATGACCCTGTGGAACTTCCTCGTTAAATTTATGTATGAAAGCCTACAAAAACCCTAGTGAAAAAATATAAAATATATTTCTCACCTCATTGGATACTGAGATTGGGATTTGAGCCATTATATAGCCATTATATAGCCATTCTATAGCCATCCATAGGGATCTTTATAGCCATTGTATAGCTACAAGGAATCCCAGCGATGGTGGGATTCGACCATATGCCACTTTCATGGCTGGGTTTGTACTAAACTACCGAATTTCAGTTGGGAACCATCGTTTTCCCTTCTTGACTTCTTGACATGATTTTTCCTCTTCAGACACCAGAGAATCCCAGACATGAAGTGAACATCTTTTTGTATCCAAACTTCTTTGCGTTGGGCGTAACGGGAGGTCGTATCCAAACTTCGAACCGTGCTTTTGGATGGTGTTTTGATGTTTTGGGATGGCTTGGGTCATCCATTTTGAACCCAACTCATGCCAACGGTGTCCCCAAAATTGTCCATATTTTTTTGGGGGGATTAGACACATAACCCTTAATAAACCAGAATGAAGCGATGTTTTTTTTATCACTGGTTTAAGATTCTTGGTGATATATCTCATGGATTCTCTATTTTGTTAGCCTTTGGTAATCCAACATTGCCCTGGAAATTCACAGTGTTTGAAAATGTTTAATAGGTAAATCATCGAACCAAATGGGCAATTTTCCATAGGGAAGCAAGACTACTGGAGGGTATATCCCGATATATCCTGATGGTTTTCTCATTATTATCAAGTCTACTTGGGTCATCCCACTTAGTAGTTGTCAACAACGCTGGTTACTAAGTCCCCTGATAGTCCCCTATTAGCTTATCCCATATACAGGGGAAGAAACGCCCGTTTCCTAACCACTCACTAAATGCGAGAATCCTTTAAGTAGTCATTTGGTTGGTGGTTTGGAACATGGCTATATTTTTCCATATATTGGGAATAATCATTCCAACTGACGAACTCATATGTTTCAGAGGGGTAGATATACCACCAACCAGTCATGATTGATAAATGATTTTCCAATGCAGGTTCTGGCGGATGTGGATGCGAAGGACTTGCTGGCTGCCGCCTGCGTGCAGCCGTGCTGGGTGGTGCTCAACAACGAAAGAACGCTGCAGTGCTATGAAAATGTCAAGCTGTGTCTTGGATGCCCCAGGACACAACTACCGGTGCTTCAAAAATCGAAAAGTGATGATTGATTTTGATTGTTATCCTGCCCCCAATTAACATAGACTCTAAAAGTAGCTCATATTTAGAAAATAATCTTCCAAGCTCCTATTTGGCAGGGTCTAGCTTAATTTACTGGAAGGTACTAGTCACATCGATATTTTAGGTATTTCCCATCTTTCAAAGTAGAAGGATGATATCAGTTGATGGTGTTTTTGCACAGCATGGTTCAACTACCGGCTTAATTGCCAGCTGGAGGCTCGTTTTCGACCCTGAAACGCAGAGAAAGAAGCGGAGTATCCAAATACAAGGAGGCACCTTTTCCAGCTGAAATTGGTTCAAGCAGAAACCGTTTATTTCAAGACCATATTGTATTGAATTGTGGCAAATTCTGTCCATGTTTGAACGGAATTACTCATTTAGCGCTTCGGAGAAACCATTTTCCCTTCCCAATTACAAGATTAATCAAGATTAGCAACAATGTTCTTTATTGGTTCTTGCTGTACAAGAATTGGCATTTTTTTGGCCAACAAAGACCCCAACATGGATCGAATTCATTGCTTGATCCACCGAATATTGGGCAGTGACCCTTTCTGCAGTTTAGGCACTTGCCGGGCGGTGCGGACAATGTTCAGCACGCCTGGTTCGGTGTTCCATCTGAAGAGGGGAAGGGCGCAGACTGCACGGAAGCCGTCCAAAAGCTGCGGCGAGAGAACCGGGCTGCCACATGGCTGAAATTGTTGAAGTTGTGGCTGGACATGCAATGACAGCTCTATTTCACTTGTAGCCTTTGGACTGCAAAATCTGTGGTTTTGTTGCAATTTGCCGTTTCTGTATTTTGCAGTCTTTCCGCATGTTTGAACTGGCAATGTTTGAAGTAGTCTACCTCAATAGAGCAACTTTGACTGCATTTTGACTTGCACTTTACTTTGTTTGTAATTATGTGGGTTTACAGGGTCTACCCGACTTGGGTAAACTCAGGAAATTCAGCACAGTACTTCCCATACCTAGTCAGTTGGAGCACTGGTCAGCGGGGTTGTGGAGCTAGAGCCATGCTGGGCTGCTGGATATGTTTTCCCGTGGTGGCCCGTGGAGGACATCAAATGTAGACACACAGAATGTATGCCCTGGATGCCCATTTTTTTGTGACATTTCGATGCAAAAATTGGGGGTACTAATTATACTTGGGCATGTATCATTTTTCCATTCAGAACCTTTTTAAGTTGCATAGAATTACCATAGAATTACCATGGATGATCCATTGACCTGCCAAAAAATACCAGCGATGGCTTCACCCTGAGGTGATCGTCTCCCCAGTCGCTCTGGGCTGCGATCCGGCTCCATGTGCCGCTAAGCGTGGAAAAGCCATGAAAAGTTCCCGGGTTTTGCAGGTGTTTTGATCTACAAATGCTGGTTTTTCATGGTTTTTCCCATAAATCTGGGTAAATTATTAAATTACAATATGTCACTAACCTGAATTGTTGGGCCATTTGGGGATGATTTCCCATATGAAAACCATGATTCCAGTGAGGTCACGAAGTGAGGTCGCTATAATTTACCCAGATAAATGGGAAAAACTGGTATGTATGTGTTTTTTTTTACTTGTGGAAAAACCACCATTTGTAGTAGATCAAAACACCTGGCTTTTACATTCTTACCCAGAGTTCGGGAAAAAATGGAATGACATCAGCAAAACTGATACATATCATATATATATATATATGTAAAAAAAATGATCGCCAAACGCTAATTTTACTGGAGGGGAAATGGAAAAAACTGAAAAAAAAAACATCAAACGTGGAGAGACCTTATTTTAATGGCCAAATGGGAATTGAGCGAAGTATGATGACAATTGTGGCTAAATCACCAGGTATTTTCTGAATCCAAGCAGCTTTCACCGGCTGGAGTTTTTTCGCAACAAACATGGAGATGTGACCAACATGGGAGTTCAACTCCAAGAACTTAACTGGAGTTTATGACTTACCATCAAAGCAGTTGATATTATATATATTTATCCACAAAAAGTATCAAACAGGAATATATATGTGAAACATTGGTGAAACAACAAAACCTGGGAATGTGGTCAAGCCACCAAGTACATGGACGGGTTAGGCCAAGAATCAAGGCCCACAATGCTGTTGTTCTTGGCAACTTTCAGCATCCAGCATGCGTTTCTTTCTTGGAGGTTGCCAAACCTGCCAAAGTGGATCATTTGTTGGGTTTTTTTGGTTTTGATACGCAGCAAACACTATGATTTAATGATTTAATATCACAGTAGGGCAACCCAGAAAAAGATATGAAGTCTTGGCCAGCTTGAAATTCCCAACACTATTAGGGAGGATATATTTGTTGTACGTGCGCCTGAGCAACAACACTGAGGTCTTCAAGCAGTTCCGAGTTCAGTTGCTCGACAGCAATCGGAACCTAACGTTGGACTCCATAGTCTGGGTTGGGGTGGATTAGTTCAGCCATCGCGACGACTTCCGTGTGCGAGGTTGCGGGATCCAAGTGGTTTTCGCGCAGAGGAGCCACGTCAGTTGCTTGGCGCACTTTGATGGGGGGTGTCCCTCCATTTCTGTGAGTTCATGGGGGGGTGTCTGGTCAAAACATGTTAAACCTTGGCTTGTACCCAGATTTTTTTTATGGGTATGAAGATCCAATGAACTACTGTATCTACCAGCTACCAGCTGACTGCCAAAGACCCAGAAGTGGGGGATGACTTGAACTCTTGCGGTTGAAACACCAATGGTTGTCATTGTAAAAGCATGGTTTCCAGTAGATGTTCCCTTTCTGTACGTGGGGATGGGTCAAAACCTATTAGTATCAATTTTAATGGGATGAACATCCATTTACCAGCTGTTTTGTGGTTCATTCACTAGGTACCAGGGTTATGACTCATAGCCACGTAAATAATTCCACTGACAAACCACTGGAGATACAAAGTGGAGAGTAAGTCTGATGATGCTGATGATGCTGATTACGACTATATGGCGACGATGTTGCAGGGGGGATTGAGCCGCAGCAAAACTGCTTCCGAAAAAAACAGGTGGGTGGAATAGTGAAGTGTGAAGTTTCATGTGCTTTGGGATTCCAGCCCTGCCAATACCTTGCTGAAGCAAGAGGGGCTTCAGCTAGCAGGGGCTTGCTTTCGTGACCTTCTTGTGGAAGTGATCACCAACTCAATCCTTGACCTTTAATGGTTCATATCAACTTGGTTGAATGTTGGTTGGCCTCTCTTGCCCGGTGTGTTTCAGCGGATTCAGGAATGATGAGAAAATTGTAAGAACGTCCATGCGCAATGATCATATCTCATACTACAAGGGTTCTCTGTGGGAGTGGAAGGGGTTCCCAGGCGGTTTCCATGCTTCGGACTTTGCAAAAACCGACCATCGACAGTGACTAGAGATGAGTCGAGTCAGTACATTATGTTTAACAGAATTCGTTCAAAAGAGAAACTACATGAAGCAACCAATGTTTGGGCATAAAAAAGGATTCCTACACATGTTCATTTGAATCCATTGAGATTTTTGGCCGCACCTAGGCTCAGACAGTGGAAAACATTGGACGAAGTACCATCTGCGCCTGAGGGCAAGTGGGTTGCTTTCATTCGACATGCTCAGGCAGGTCACAATGTGGCTCAGCTGGAAAAGGTGTGCGCCCTATTGCTGTGTGATGTCCTTTCCCCGTTGAAGGATTCAAGTAGATACATGCACTGCAGAGTTTATGACATTATCATATATACATTAAGCATTTCTATTGGAAACCGTGATTGCTAGTTATTTTATGTTATTTTGATATTATGTAGTTGATTTACAAGTTATATTATATTATATACACTGTGATTGATACATTATGAACATATATATGTATATATATACACATACATGTATACACGCATATATATATATATATATATATACATGTATACACTTATATATATACATGTATACACTTATATATATACATGTATACACTTATATATATATATATAATTTATAATAAATTAGTTTGATTTAGTAAGAATATTTCATTATATCCAAATTGGGGTGTGATGCATTCTTTAAGCCAGTTCCGTCCCCGTTTACGCCTTGGGTACGAGGGAGCTACGATCTAGCCCAGTTGGCTGATGTTTTTAGTTGGGGGGATTATACCAACCAATAGATGGGGACTATAATAGTCCAAGAACGGGGAATCAATATTGATCTGGGTAAATTATAACGACCTCACTGCGACCTCACTGGAAATCATAGTTAGTAAGGGGAATCATCCCAAAATGGCCTTGCTCTCAATGAAGGTGAAAGGCCTTAATTCAGGTTAGTGAAATATTATAATTTACCCAGATTGGTATATTCCAAGAGTCCTATCCTTTGCAGTTTCTTGTTGATATTGATATATTGGAAAGCAAAATGATTTTCTGTAAAGTGTCCTTCAACACTTGCATCATCTTGAATCAGTCAATTCAATCGATTCATGTTCTCCAAAAATTCTTCCCTTACCCTCCAGTTTCATCAAACATGTTTGCGGGAAAATCTCCCATTTAGTGAAAAATGTTGTTCCCAGCTATAAACCTCCATTAGAAACTTCGGGGATTTCCCAGCTTTGATGACTGGATGATAACCCGCGGGCCGCCCTACGTGTTGGATTCCCATCCCATTGGGCGTATCCTCCTTATGAAAATATCCCAGTCAGACGGCAGGGAACATGAAGCCCTTTTCTGAAGTTAATGTATCCATATGTGTATGGGTCAAAAAATAAGACTACCAAAAAAGAGCACATATAACTTAATCTGTTGTACCCGATTTTGACCCCATGCCCAGAGGGGATACGGTCAAAATAAGCGTAGACTATTTAGCAAGGGAGGGTCCAGTTGTGTCCAGAAAGTGTACCAAACCATGTAAAGCGATAGGGCCCCGCAAAAAAGACAACGTGTAACCATATGAGAGTGCATTAAACTTGGTGTAAACCCAGAACATATTGTTGTGCACCTTCACGCGATGGGTAAAATTGATGAAGAAAATTCAACCTGCAGTGCCCACGTTTCTTGCAGTGGCCATGTCATTTGTTGTCCAAGGTTGCTTTCTGCAGGCAGTTTGTTTTTTTCTCCCAGGTCACAAAGAAGTAGAATTAATCTAAACTAAATGACTAAATTCTGAAGTAAATCAAAATTGATTGAATCCAATTGTGAATTCCATCTATTTCAGTTTGTCCTCTTTGTTTCATTTGGCCTTTTCATTTCCTCTTTCTCTTCCATTCTTGATCACCCTGGTGTTCTAATTTAGCTATAAGCTTAGCGATAACCTTTTGTTGAAAAAGGGACCCCGGACGAGGGATAGACTCATTTGACCACAGCGATATCATTTTTTGTTTTCATAGAATTATTGATCTTATATTGGTTACTATCATTCTAGATTGGAGTTGAGATTGTAATAAAGTTCCTTGCTTAGGAAAGAGTCTAGGACCTTAGGAGCTTAGGTAGCCCCCCAACATGGTTGCAAACCAAAAGACAACGAGCGCCCCCCTTAATCCATCCCCGGCAGTTTAGAGATCTGAATCCGTGAAGCGATTTTCGCTGCGTTTACGCATTATTTATCATTGTTTAGTGTTGATTTGAATAAAACACTGTAAAGCGATAGGGCCCACCCAAAAAAGCTGCAACCTAGATGTTCGTACCAAGCATCAAGAATTGATTTTGACTGCGGCTCATATATATATATAATATCATAATATACATCACATGTACATAATATATAATAGTACACGCAGACCCCGTGGTTTGCCCAAGTCCAGAATAGCGTAAATAGCAGTGAATTCTGTACGACGTCAAACAACAAGAAGGGTTTTATGTTCAATTATGTTGCTAGGGTGTTAACCAGAACATGTTGCTTCTACATATCATATAACCAGAGCATGTCGCTTCCTCATATCATGGAATTTACCATTCAGTCCTTCGGGTTTCTTATAGGGTTTCAAGACGATATCAAAGTCCCCCGGCCTCATGGAACAATCAATCATAAAGTCATTAGGATTATTATAGGGATTCAAGAAGATATCAAAATCCCCCGGCCGCATGAAACAATCAACCATACAGTCATTAGGGTTCTTTTTAGGGTTTCAAGAATATATCAAAATCATCACCATCATCATCATCATCATCATCATCATCATCATCATCTTGGCTTTCCCGGACGCTCGTTGCGAGTCCGGGCAATCCTCAGGGTCTTGCCGTAATAACATACGCCGATTATAACCCCACTATATCCTAACTATATCCAGCTGATATCCCCATCAACCCCATCAAGCCGCACAGGTGGACCATGCCTTAACGCAGACGCGCGACACCCATTTGACAGAAGAAGGCATTGCGCAAGCGTTGAGGGCACACGAAGGCTTGCCCGGTGACACCATGTCTAAGGCCCAGGTGATTTTCACCAGCCCCTTGACGCGGGCCATGCAGACTTCGGGCTTGATCAGAGGTAGCTGAGCAGATGCGGGTGCGGGTTGTTTCTTGATGTGGCAGTTTGCTGGTGGAATATCTGTACGTATGATTATTGAGGGTTTAATGTAGATCTATTCGATATGATTTTTCATGTGTTCCATCCCACGTGGGATGATGATTAACCAACCAGTTGTTGTTTGTGGTTTTGGTGCTTTCCATTGCATCAGTGAATGCGTTTTTTTTCATGGTCTGGACGTTCCCGACATCGCTAGTGGGAATTTGAAGATGAATTCACACAACATCAGAAATAACTCCTATATAATACTAATCAGTAACATCTTAACCCCTATTACTAGATGATACTAGTATGATTCATGATTATATCATGACTATATCATGATACGTAATTAGATGGGCCATGGAGTTAGTTAACTAGTTAGTAAATGGATTATAATTGGGATATAGGGGGTTATATCCCCAGTTACCAACCATTTAGCTAATCCCATGGCCCATCTAAGTATGTCATGATTCTCCAATCGCCTCCCTAGGCCCCTGCTGTGTCCCGGTGCACCTTGAGCCGCTGATCACGGAACGCTGGAGCGCTCCCTGCGACGAGGGTACCCCGGCCTCAGAGCTGAGGCGCGACGTTGACGCGCCGCCGCCGGGGCTGGAGCAGAAGAGCTCCTGGGAAGGCCCGGGGTGCCAGGAGCCAAGCCGATTGGTTGGGGATTTTACATGATTTTACAGGGTAAATGTGGATTTTTCATGGGTTTTTTACAGGGTTTCAAGAGCAGAAAAATGATGGTTGGTTGGTGTTATATCTTGTTATAGTTTAATCAGCCCAAAACTGAAATATGTTGGGATATGAGGAGGGTATCACCTGCTGTTTTGTGAAATCAGACCGGGTGCCCCCCCAATTTTGTATGGCATGTGTTCATAGGGAAAATTTGAGACATGATGACAAAGCAGTGGTTTCGGAAGCCGCTAAATTGATGTGGATGAAGTCACCGGTTACGCGGCTTACGCGGTGGGACCCACAAGAGGCTGGTGATTGTATGTCCTTTCTATATCTAAGCACATCAAATATGTGTACACATCCTGGAATCCTGTATGCATATCCTGCATGTGTAATATATTTATATATATATATACAGTACTATACACAGCCATTTGCAAGTGGCTAAAGAGGCTTCTCATGCAAATACGCATCCGTGGAAAGAAACATGGCATTCGAAGGATATCGAACCTTGCAATTTGTCCAGCAGGATGTTCACATATCTACAAGCAGATCCACCAGCTTAAAGTCTTAAACTACCGAATGCCCATCATTAATATCCAACAGCAGGACATCCACATCTAACCAGATCTAGGTGATGACCGTCATGCCTGGCCCAGGCTGGGACTCGCTAGAAGAGCGATGGTGGCCTCTGTGTGGGGAAGATCAGTGGGCTCGCGCCGATGAGTTCTTGGCCAAAGCCCGCGCCATGCCGTTCGATCGATGCTTGGAGTCATGGCTAGCGGGGTAGCGGCTGCTTTTTGACATCTTTCTGACGCTGGGATGGACATGTAGCCCCAGGAAATACGAGACACTGATGTAGAAAGGATATGAAAGGATCATGATCATCCAAGTTTTTGTGAGTTCTTGTTGACATTCACCCTCAAAAATCATACGGACAACACCATACAACACCCATAAATGCAGGATTATGATGATCTATGTGTGGTATGTTGACCTACAGAAGGTGACCACCTGAAAGAAACATAATTTACATCATTTTTCCAATGCAGTGCCACATCACTGGTAGTTTCAACATGTTTCAACGAAGTGGCTCCATGGGTTAGCCCTCATCTTGGGTCGACGTGACATGGTCACATACCCAGTGCATTCAGGGTACACGGGTCTGATTCTTCATCCCGGCTCATGGGCCGTGGTGTTTCAATGTTGCATGAACCGTGCATCCCTTCCCCTCGGTGTGGAAGTCCATGGAAGTCCCAAACCCAGCCGGTCATGGCTTCCAATGTTTTTGCAATTTGCACAAATCAGTAAATTAGATACAGTAGATTCTATATATATATATATATGATTTCCCATTTTTGCGGATGTCCCGACCTTCAGGACTCGTATTTGTCGGCCACGGAGGGTTTTGGGAAACGGTACTGCCCTTAGACCAGTGGCAGCTGTAGGTGTCAATGACAGATGTGTTTGTGTGAGTGTGTGCATTTGTATTTGTATCTATTCGAATCTGCATACGAACATATCATTTATGCGTAGATATACAATTATAATTACATGTGCTTTATAATTGCTTATATAATCTTATATACATACCTTGAACACAACCTTCTTTTTCAATTTGTTGAGGGAAACAAGCTGAACGTTTGGGTTCCAGGTATTGAGGCACACCGTAGCAGTTATGGGTACATTGCGGTTCAGATATAGGCTGTATCGTTCTGGGGGGTATTAAGCTTGGGTTTGGTGAATTCTTTTAGTCTATCTCGGGCGAGCCCCTAATTTGCATTGTAGTTTCGTCCATGATGTGTCGTATTTATACATACATTGGAATATCGAATATACATCCATATGCTGTAGACAGATAGATGAACAGGTGGACAGACAAACAGACAGACAGGTAAAAATATACAGCAGTGCAGTCAGTGTCTGACCAAATCTCACCAATCTGACGCGCATTGATGTTTCCCAATTAAATGAGTGTTTTTTGGATGGACCAATGGACACCGACCAGATTGGGATCAATTAGAGTCAAAAGTCATTTGAAACTATCGAGGAATAGTGGCGTTCAAACAGATAGAATTTTATGTTCACTGTTTGCTCCTCCTTTTCTTGACCGCTGGCATCTCCCGGAGAAGGGACACACATTCACTGGACCCGTGGGGTTTCTCATCGTGCTATGGGGAAGTGGGAACATGTGGTGGTCCATCTACAAATCTCAAATTGCTGCTGACACTGAGGTTACTGGCGCATACCTGAAGAATTGTGAGGTCTTGTTCTGTGACCGTTCACTTTGTTGAGCCATTCTGCGTTTCATCCAAAGCCATGGCACAGAATGGGCTCCGGAAACTACCGGCATTGTGCAGACGGGATGAAAAAGACGACCTGCAATGGTTTCCAGCGTGAAAAATCTGCCAGCATGAGAAGGTCTCATGAAACATGTGAGTGCTTTGATCAGGTTCATCGCCATTTTCCAAGCCTATCCAGAAGCGATAGATTATTGAGATATCTTGGTCAGATACTATGGATTGGTCAGGTCCATAGACAAGGTATACACGGGCATCGACAGTACAATCTGGAACGTATATTTTAGTGCCCTAGTTTGGATGAATAATCTAACAGAGAAGCCTTTCATTTCATGGAAGAAAAATCTGGGATGGGTAAAGATCATCCACACACTTTTCCTAAAATTTTTAAAACCATCTACCCTCTGGTAATTTAACATAGCTATTGAAAATGGCCATGTATAGTTGATTTTCCCATAAAAAATTGTGATTTTCCATCGTTATGTTAGTTTACCAGAGGGTATAACTTGATGGAACATGTGCAACCTCAAAGATATGGGTATGGATCAATACCTATTAATACCATTTTTAGTGGGATGAACATCCATTTACCAGCTATTTTGGGGTTCACCAGGGGTACAGGGTTTTGACCCACATCCATATGTTCAGCCTTTCGGCTTCCTCGTTTCGGCCAGGATAGCTGGGGTAGTGTCAAGCCGCCCTCCTACGCCACGTGGTGCGGGCGTCCCAAATCATCCATTGTTTTTGGGGATTCCCCATGATAAAGCGTCCATTTAGGGGTAGCATGGGGTAGCCTCTGGTGAACTAACAGAAAGCTATGGAAAATGGCTATTTATAGTGGATTTTCCCATGAAAATGGTGATTTTCCATTGCTATGTTAGTTCACCAGAGGGTAGCCCAAGTCATGGAAATATCCCAAATTAGGCACATGTCCAACAACACACCAAGATTGTGAATGGTTGATGTTTTTTTGTTTGCCACAATGAGCACTTCTACCATTGCAAGACTCAGGTGAGCAGGGCCTATGACATAAGCACAGCAACTGGCCAGAAGACAAAAACCATCCACTGAGCATGGCTGAATAATGTGTACAGCTACTGGAATACCTGGGATAGCCTGAAGGAGCATATCTTGGTGTGATCACACACGTACTATTTTTCTTATTTTAATCAGAACAACATAATTAATACAAACATATTTCATGAATACAATAACAATCATAACACAATATTTACATTGTAGATGTACCCTCTGGTTATTTAACATAGCCATGGAAGCCAGGCCCATAGATGATTTTCCCAGCGACATCAACCTCCATTTATGGTTGGGATTTTCCATGGCTATGTTAGTCATAACCAGGGGGTATCTCAATATTCCCACTATTATCCCACTATTAATATCCAAATGATTCTGCAAAAACCCAATCCATCATTGGAATTTTCCATAGCCATTGGTTTCACCCAGGTCCTGTCGCGAAACGCCTTGGCGGGAAGTTGTTCGCCGTAGGCGCACGGAAGCGAAGGTGGAAGCGAAGGCCGGGAAGAGACGAAAGATCTGGGAATTTCAAACAACCATCAACCATTGACAATCATTAACAACCATTAACAACAAATAACAACCATTGACAATCATTAACAACCATTGAAAATCATTAACAATCATTAACAACCATTGACCATCATTAACAACCATTGACCATCATTAACAACCATTGACCATCATTAACAACCATTAACAACCATTAACAACCATTGACAAGCATTAACAACCATTGACCATCATTAACAACCATTGACCATCATTAACAACCATTAACAACCATTAACAACCATTGACAATCATTAACTACCATTGACCATCATTAACAACCATTGACCATCATTAACAACCATTAACAACCATTAACAACCATTGACAATCATTAACAACCAATGACCATCATTAACAACCATTGACCATCATTAACAACCATTAACAACCATTAACAACCATTGACAACCATTAACAACCATTAACAACCATTCACCATCATTAACAACCATTGACCATCATTAACAACCATTAACAACCATTAACAACCATTGACAATCATTAACAACCATTGACCATCATTAACAACCATTAACAACAATTAACAACCATTGACAATCCTTAACAACCATTAACAACCATTAACAATCATTAACAACCAATGACCATCATTAACAACCATTGACCATCATTAACAACCATTAACAACCATTAACAACCATTGACAACCATTGACAATCATTAACAACCATTGACCATCATTAACAACCATTGACCATCATTAACAACCATTAACAACCATTAACAACCATTGACAATCATTAACAACCATTGACCATCATTAACAACCATTAACAACAATTAACAACCATTGACAACCATTGACCATCATTAACAACCATTGACCATCATTAACAACCATTCACAACCATTAACAACCATTCACAACCATTAACAACCATTGACAATCATTAACAACCATTAACAACCATTAACAACCATTGACAATCATTAACAACAATTGACCGTCATTAACAACCATTGACCATCATTAACAACCATTAACAACAATTAACAACAATTGACAATCATTAACAACCATTGACCATCATTAACAACCGTTGACCATCATTAACAACCATTAACAACCATTAACAACCATTGACAATCATTAACAACCATTGACCATCATTAACAACCATTGACCATCATTAACAACCATTAACAACCAATAACAACCATTGACAATCATTAACAACCATTGACCATCATTAACAACCATTGACCATCATTAACAACCATTGACCATCATTAACAACCATTAACAACCATTAACAACCATTAACAACAATTAACAACCATTGACAATCATTAACAACCATTGACCATCATTAACAACCATTAACAGCCATTAACAACCATTGACAATCATTAACAACCATTGACCATAATTAACAACCATTGACAACCATTGACAATCATTAACAACCATTGACCATCATTAATAACCATTAACAACCATCAACAACCATTAGCAACAAATAACAACCATTGACCATCATTAACAACCAGTAACAACCATTGACAATCATTAACAACCATTAACAACAATTAGCAACAATTAACAACCATTAACAACAATTAGCAACCATTAACAACCATTAACAACCATTGACAATCATTAACAACCATTAACAATCATTAACAACCACTAACAACCATTAACAACCATTAACAACCATTGACAATCATCAACAACCATTAACAACCATTGACTATCATTAACAACCATTAACAACCATTGACCATCATTAACAACCATTAACAACCATTAGCATTAGCAACCATTAACAACAATTAGCATTAGCAACCATTAACAACCATTAACAACCATTAACAACCACTAACAACCATTAACAACCATTAGCGACCACTAACAACAGTTAACAACTTTTAGCAATCACTAACAACAATTGACAACCTTTAACAACCATTAACAATCATTAACAACCACACGCAACCATTAACAACCATTGACAATCATTAACAACCATTAACAACCACTAACAGCAATTAACAACCATTACCAACCATTAACAACAATTAACAACCATTAACACTCAATAACAATCACATACAACCACTAACAATCATCAACAACCATTGACAACCATTGACAATCATTAACAACCATTAACAACAATTAACAATCATTAACAACCATTAACAACCACTAACAATCATTAACAACTTGACAAACCCATACAACCCCCTAAAGATAGATAGAAATATGTTTCCAGGATGGTAGCTGGATGATATTTTCCGATTTCTCGTTGTATTTCCAGATGTCCAACTCGTGGATCTATTTCCGGGTTGGAGTTGCTATGGAAAATCACAGTTTTGATCGATAAATCATCGAACTAAATGGGACATATTCCATAGCTGTCACATTACCCGACAGTAAACAACCAAAGCTCCTTTTTGGAGTGAGAAATCTCAGTCTGGGGTTTTTATGTTGCAATTTGCGAATAGTTTGTTTTTCTCCCGGTGACTGGATGTCCTCACTTTATTTGGATTCTACCACTAATATTAACATCGCAGGTTTAGATTGTTGAGGTGATGGTATCACATTGCAAATCCTTCCAAGTAGATCCCTCCATGGAAAACATTGGAAAACCAACATGGAACGAGAAACAAAATCGTTTTGGAAGATGATATTTCTTTTCCAAAGGGTCAATGTTCAACTTCGAGATCAATGTTCACTCTTTGCGGACTTGGAAGGAACATTTACATACATGGCCTCAAGAGATGTCGATACTTTAAGGATCATGTTCCCTGAAACCTTGACTCCAACAGAGCATTTGGCCATGGGGGCCATGGGTCTGGCATTTCAAACAGTGCTGACAGGTGGATGCGCATTGGCGAAAGAGAACGGTCGGGGGTCGCAGCGATGGAGATGTCCAAAATGGGGCTACCCCCAAATCATCCAAGTCATGAATGGTTTTTTTAGTATAGTTGTGTATTGAAACCCATTGTGACAACTGGGGATCCCCCATGACTTAAGAAAGCCTCAGGACCAGAGCATCGAGGCTGAGGAACGTTCATCTGATCCCAACATCTGGTTGGTGGTTTGGAACATTTTTTAGTTTCCCATATATTGGGAATAATCCTTAATCCTTCCCATTGACTTTCATATTTTTCAAGATTGTTAAAACATGTTAAAACCACCAACCAGATCAACAACATCATCATCATCACCACCACCATCATCATCATCATCATCATCATCTCTGCATCCAAGCGTTCAGTGCCCAGGAAACTCCATCCACGCGGTGTCCGTTTGGGCCCTCGGATAGGGACCCGAGCCCTCAAGACTGAAAAACATCGCCACCAAAACAGTAGGGAAGCCGCCCAACATGTAATTCTCATCCCAGTGACAAGGTACAACTATACATACGAAATAACGACTTAAATTACGGTATTTTACGGTGCATACGAAACCTTCCGCAGCGTTTGGGGATGAACACTGCGCTCCTTCGACTGTGTCTATTTCAATTTCATACAATGCCTGCCAAGGCATCTGCAAAGTGATGGGCCCCTACTAATTGCAGATAAGGGATGTGCCATCTTTGTCTGAATGATTTTGCCATTACAACACATTACATACTCCATACAATCTCAACTTTCCTATCAATGGAAATCTGTCGAAACCTAGCAAGTGCATGCAAGTGCTAGTAATGTCTATAAATCCTGGGAAGTGAATCCAACTCATATACCTTGTGGTGTCGCGTAGAGAACATCTGAATATAGAGGCCCATTGTGTGAAATATCGTGTCAACCTTGGATGGAGATTTTTTGACCCTCTTTTTCCATATTTGAGTTATTTGCTATTGGTCAGGATATTGACTACCTTCCGGCCTTCCGGTACTCAATGGACAATCCCCCATTTCGTTCGATGACTTTCCCATCAAACACGCAAAATGGCTAGGACACGGGGATTTCCCAGCCTCGTGTGACGACACCGGAGGGTAACTTGGTTCATGTTGGTTCTATATTCCCATGAAATATCCCATTAAATCACCATTAAATATACCATTATATAAATTGTCATTGAATATCCCATTAAATGTTCATTTAGTATCTTAATATCTCATTAAATTTTCAGGAAATATCCGAATAATATTCCATGAATCGCCATGAAATTGGACCGGACTACCCTTCGGAAGTGGCGTCTGGCGCCCTCCCAAGGTCCCGCGCCGTGCAGCAGTCGCCCCAACTACGAACGCCTTCACCCGATGCTTTCGTGGCTTCAAAGGTGACTGGGTCGGCAGGTTGTGATAGGTTGATTGCTTATGGGTGTGTCTGAACATGGGGTACATATACCGTATAAAAACCCATTTGTTGTCCTTTAAAATGGGAAAATTACAATAAACCAACGGGTTTTCAGGTATCGTATTGTCAGACAAACCCGTATATTTCTTACCATGGATTCTGGATGAGAATATTATATTTGAACATATCTAAACATATTTAAACACACACACACACACATATGTATATATATATATGCATATATGTGCTTAAACTATGCTCTATCCTGATTTATCCTGTATCCTAACCAAATACATGTTAAGTATCGTTTTGTCTTAGGCTTGCATGGAGATAATTATATACATTTTTGTCATATTGTCTATTTATTTTTGTTGGTTATAGCTGGGCTACATTGTATATGAACCAAGTAAAGAGAAGGTATGCAACATTGGCAATGGAGTTTTAAACACCCCTCACTGGTAGAAAATATATAATCTGCGGAATTCACTTGGGAAAAACGCGAGTACAGAATAGTACCGATGGATGCAGGCTCAAAAAATGGGACAAAATGGATAAACACTCCCGAATTGGGCTGTAACTGAGGGGCCCCCATTCTTGACAGCATATCAAGAGTAATGTATGGATGTAAGCAACAACAAATTGAAACTTGTCAAACATTGGAAATTGCTGAGGTCTGGATATGACAAGCATGGAACAACGAATCACTATGTCCATGGAATTTGTAGGGACCCACAACTGATGGGCCCTTCATTCCCATAATCTTCGCAACTCTTGAGATTTCTGATGGGCATAGTTTCCAACTATTGGGTGTTTCTTGTGGGAATAGTATCTGGGAGTAGTATGGGAATGGTGGTCCCACATAAATTCCACATGCAATGACCATCTGGGTCTAGGCACCAAGCCCGGTACCTATGGACGCTTGGCGGAAGCGAACATGTCGCGGAAATCGAACATCTCCCCAACAATTTTGGCACGAACACCATAGTATTCACAAATTACTATAAATGAGTGCCCTATAAATCATTAAAGCCATTTTCACAAGTAACCTCTATTTTCACATATTTTCACGAACCACATCAATAGGTCACTAATTGTCATTTTGGTATACCAAAATGACTCCATAGTTTTTTTCCATGTTTTTTTCCATATTTTTCCTTGAATTCACGTCAGTGGATGTTGTGGGATTCATTTGATCATCACTGGGGACTTCAGCAGTGGCAAGGAAGAGCTGCAGTGTGGATATCTGTCCGACTGGAGCAGTCGCCAAAGTATGAGTATCCAATGGTTAAAAAAATATATGATATATACTAGTATATATCATATTATATATATATATTATTATATGTGTACATCTATGATTATTTATGTATGCATGTATAATGTTCAGCAGATCATTCAGTTTTGTATCTTACTGATATTGTGTACAACGCATATGTTAGCATTATCCAAATAAGTCCGTTCCAGACAGTTTTTCTAAATCCTCTAATCCAGTTGTGCACAGTTTTCCCTCGATTGACGCAGAGCGGGGCAAACTTGAATCTGGATACCTCACAAAGACCTCGATGCGACATCACTGCAATGATGGTTAGTAGGGCTAACATGGGCTACCATCTGGTTATTTAACATAGCCATGGAAAATCACCATTTTTAATAGGTAAACCATCTATAAATGGGCCATCTATACCATGGCTATGTTAGTCATAACCAGAGGGTAACTATCCAAGACGGTACATGGATGAATTGATGGACATCTTCGCCAGGTAGATACTTAGATGCCTAGGTCCATCGGCAGGTCGGTTTCTAGGAAGGGCAGTTTGGGATGGGTATCGTTTGATCATGTTGGAAACTACAACGACACACAGACCAAGATAGTTCCCCCAGTCCCAAATATCACCTATGCTACATTATCAGACATGTTCTAGATGTGGAACAATACAATAACGTGATAGTTATTGGGGCTTACGGCTTATATTAGGTTTTGGACTTTGCGTTTGAGGGCTTAGGGTTTAGGATTGACCATGATTATGATGATGATGAGGAGGAGGAGGAGGAGAAGGAGGAGGCTGATGAGGATGATGAGGATGATGAGGATGATGAGGATGATGAGGATGATGAGGATGACGACGATGACGACGACGATGACGATGACGATGACGATGACGATGATGATGATGATGATGATGATGATGATGATGGTCGTCGTCGTCGTCGTCGTCGTCTTCGTCGTCGTCGTCGTCGTCGTTGCCATCGTCTTCCTCGTCGTCGTCCTCCTCCTCCTCATCGTTGTCATCCTCATCCTCATCCTCATCCTCATCCTCATCCTCATCCTCATGATGATGTCATCGTCATCATCATCATCATCATCATCACCATCATCATCATCACCATCATCATCATCATCATCATCCTCCTCATCCTCATCCTCATCCTCATCCTCATCCTCATCCTCATCCTCATCCTCACCATCATCCTCATGATGATGTCATCATCATCACCATCATCATCATCATCATCACCATCATCATCATGATCATCATGATCATGATCATCGAGAGTCAACTACATTCGTATAACATGATGGATGCATGGACAATAATTGATTAACCCAGAATCGAAGATGAAACAAATGTGTACCGATATGTTCCAACCAACGCACTCCAACTCTTTCAAGGACATGAGATGTTACTCATATGTTGATATATGGTTATGCATCGTCTTCATGGTGAGCCAACATGTCTCAACATGGAATTTTTGGGGTTCCCACAGCAAAGCCTTGAGGATGCGATACAATCTCCGCCGGGCTCCTTGGGGGAAAACATACTTTGGCAAGGCCATACTCAGAGATATCCAGAATTTCATAGTGTAATATACTTTACAATATATATTTCAATGGATTGGTTTAAGGGAAAATCTTAACCGGAAACCATAGATTTTCCCATTAAATATGGGGCTATCCTGTAAATTTTCCCTTAAGCCAATCCATTGAATATTGAAGTGTATACATAATTTAGGGGCAAATCCCAATTGCTGTTCAGGAGGCTTCCCTCCTGCATCCAGTGAACTATGCAACCACCCACAACTGGCAGAGTTGCTCCAGCCCACTAAAGCTAAATGAAACATACGTAAGTGTGGAAACTGGCAATTGTATCTCTTTCTCTACTCAGTTTTCTTCCCTGTATCTTGGGTGCTGGGAGCAATCTCCGCCAAGTAGGGGTTGGCTGTGGGTTCTACCCTTGGCAAATTTCTATTTGGGGATTTCGTAAATGGGGGCCCCATATTATCGTCCAAACTTGGTCATGTCTAATGGGGAAGCACATGGTTTGGGGGTACCCTAATTTTGAACACCCATTTGCTTGGCGGTTTCAAATCAATCGTGCGGATATGGCTGCAATTGGATTTGCAGAATCTGTTCACAGATTTTCGGAGCAAACTTGTAGATCCGATCCAGCGAAATTTCTTGAGTTTAGAGCATCTTCTTCTACGGACATTCTGGCCATACCTTTTCAGGATTCCAGCAAAATAATGCTTGCTATTGCCGTAGTGACTCCAGCTATACATGGCCAACACTTCGATGACCATGCATTTGTTGATGCGGATTTACTTGGCCAACATTGGCCTACAACTACTACAACAGTGGGGGTTATGGTAGATAGTGGGGTTTATGGTAGATATATTTTAATTTGTATATATCCGCATATACTCCATTTTTGGCGGTCAGGGATGGCCCATCCCAAAAAGGGTTTTCACAATTCCTGACCTCGCTCATGAACTTGTGAAGCTGATCGAAGCTAAGCAGTTTGTTCTAGTTTGTTTGTTTGTTTTCTTTATAAGCAAACGCGCGAATTGCGTCTGATTTTTTCTTTTGTAGTGCAACTACCAGTTCTTTTTCCCAATCTTCATCAGGTTTTCCTGTGAATCAAATGCCATTTGTTTCCGGCGCCATTTCCACATGAAAGCTGCGATTCCCTGGTTGCTGCTGGCCCTTGGATCGCTCCAGCTGCTGAATTTTGTGGAGAGGCCACCTCCAGTGCCTCGGGCCGTGGGACAATGGATGGTTTTTAGCCACCGGAAACGGGGGGTGCATGTTACCCTCTGGTAAACTAACATAACTATGGAAAATCACCATGTTTCATGGAAAAACTCACTATAAATTGTGATTTTCCATGGCTATGTTAAATAACCAGATGGTAATCATATTATGAATTTCATCCCTATTGATCACCATGAAAATATCCAGAAAAATCCCTATTGATCACCATGAAAATCCTTATTGGTCACTATTAAATATAATCACTATTAATGAATTACTGCAAAAGATGCAAAAAGATGGTTTCTGCGTGTTTGTGCTAGCAGAAATGTTAACTGGACTGAGCACTGACAAAAACAACAATTTCGCCAATGGGTCGCACCAGGAATTGTCACCAGCCATGGGGTTAGCATGGGGATATGACCAAAGATGTAGACTCACCACCAGCAAGGCAATTTGACATGATTTGACAGAGTCTTAGGATAAATATCACAACATGACAAATATATATATATATATGGATAACATATTTGTTGTCACAAATCACAAAAGTGTTGTGATTGTTTTTTTGTTTTCATAAATATGGATAAATCACAAAATGACAACATATTTAAATCACCAAGATGGAAGCGTCTGACTAGTTGGTGCCCTGGGGATACAAAGCAACAAACATGGGATGATCATTGGAAGAGTCAATCCCATTTCTAGAGTGCCTAAGTTTAACACATGTGTATGTGTATATTAAACATTGGTAAATTGGGCTAGATGTTGCCAATTGTTGCCATCATTTTGAGAGTACTTGCAGTTCAAAGATTTAAAGATAGTTCTGTGGCTGTGGGTTCGTTTTTTGGCATGAGCATCCATCATGACCATGACCAACCATTTTGGTGTAAATAGTAGGGTACCAGTGGTGTTGACCGTTGATCCGTACCAATCCGTATCAATATTGATTCATCGTGGATTATCATATTATGTAGTCTTAGTGGCCATTAAACTAGCTACTGTAACCCTATATTTGTCAATCAACATCAAGCATCCCAGCATCATTTCTGGATTACATCATATTACATCCCCAAGTTTCATGGCTAAATCCTGGCCTTGTGCAAAAGAACACCTTGAAGCCTTGGATTTCTCAGTCCTTTGGAATCACCCAGGGACCGTGTCGCTCCAGCGTTTCCCGCCTCGGTGCGTTTTCCGCCTCCGTCGATGAAAAGAATCTGGATGAGCTGCTCTGGGCGCTTCAGAGGGGAGATGAAGCGCTGGCAATGGAACTTCTGAAGAGCGCCCAGCTTTCAATGGGAAGCCATGATCTAAGTGGGGATTTTCCGGCCACGTTTGAGTAGGGTAACCAACAAAAAAGGGAAGTTTTAGACATGAAACAACAAACAATTTGGGGATTGAGCAACAAACATAATGGATCAACTGGATCAACGTGTTTACAACTGGCCCTGGATGGGTTTGGGAAGCCGAAAAAAGAATCCTTTTGCCTAATTGTTGTACAGTTCCCCTAACATCCTCCAACAATCCAGTACCACACCAGGCTTTTCTGTGGGGCACGCAATATTTTGGGGTCAGGGATTGCATCATAACCCTTGCAAGCTTCCAACTGCCAAGGGATTCTTCAATCCAGAGCCTGAAACAACTACCAGCGTCACTGGCTTATAAGGAGGGTTGAAGATTAAAAAACAGTTATACCCTGCCCAAGTTGGGGATACTACAGAGACCAGACCTCGGTCATGGCTTCAGATAATGTACTGGTACCAATGGTGATGAAACTCCCGACTGCCGCCACAGTTTGGCACCATCTATGCTGATTGTCCCACTTTTGGACAATACAAATTACATATATATACATATACATAATACAAATATTATATATATATAATATATATATACAATTATAATGTGTATATATATATATATATATATATCATATACCATATATATATATATATCGATAGTGTATATATGTATATATATATATATAACAAGATCAACCAGCATGTTTTCATAGTTTTGCTATTGTTTTGCTGGTAAACCAGCCGCCATTCTTCAGCCATGTTTCAGCCTTCTCCCCAGCTCCCCAGGTCCACGTGCCCCGGAGCTGCTGAAACGCCGCTCCAGACGTCACGACTGTACCTGTCTGATGCTGGCGGCTGGAGCCTCGGGCCGCCCAGCATCGGTACCTCGGAGCCGACCTGAGTTCTGAGAAGTTCTGTGACATGAACTAAATAGTATATTGTTATAAGTATTGTGACATGAACTAATATATTGTTCTAATATTTTGTGTTTAGAACTAATTTCTTGTTATACATACTTATCACTATGTGTTATTCTAAATATATTGTTTTGTAATATGTGGTATGTATATGATTGTATATGTATATTATATGTGTTATATGGATGGAACTCAATTTCTTTTATAGTTGAGTAAACTGGTTTGATGTGAGTCATAACTTTGGGTAAATAGTTTGTGTGTGTGTTTTTGGTTATTTGTGGATTTATCGTTAGTCTGAATATGAATTTTCCAATAGAGTGATATAGCATGATATAGCTACAGACTAGGTCTGCTTTGGGAACAACAAATGTATCTACCATCTGATTATTTAACATAGCCATGGAAAATTGCCCATTTATAGATGTTTTTCCCATTAAAACCTCCATTTATGAGGGATTTTCCATGGCCATGTTAAATAACCAAATGGTATTCCATAGGTTGATCATCTGATCATGGGAATGGTATCCCCCATGGACTCATGGACCCAGGACGTCCTGGTGGAGCGGATCCTGTCCTTCGGTGCCGCAGCCAATGTGGCGGCCAGAAGCCGCAGCCACCGCACGGCGGCGGACTATGCGGCGCTGCACCCCACGTGGCTGGGGCTATCTAGAAAAAAAGGCGAAGTACATGGGCATTAAAACATATTAAACACATATGGGTATGGGTCAATACCTGTAGATACATTTTTAGTGGGATGAACATCCATTTACCAGCTATTTTGATGTTCACCAGGGGTACAAGGTTTTGACACACTGCCATATGAACTTATATTAAAACATATGACGTATTTAAGAAAATTTATTAAAGCAAAAGTTGGCAAATGTCCTAATTGAATAAAAAAAGGGAATATGATCTCAAACCACATAGCTGAAAGCGATGTTCAGAATCCCCCTACGAACCCCTGTAAAATGGGAACCGCATCTATAAGTGGAAAATGTTACATTCCATTTGTTTGTTTGAGTCCATTCCCCAAAATGGGGAAACCAGATAACTTGGAGGGATTTTGCGGGCATTGCATGATTTACCTGCATTATAAGTCATGATTGGCAAAGGTCAACCATCCTATTTTGTTGCTCCAGCCCATTATAGGTGAATGATAGCCACAAAGGGCCTGAACACGTTGTGTTTGTTCTTACCTCCCCATTTGATTCCCCAAATGCATCTGTGGCGAGCAAGACTGTTACAGTCACCTACCCAACGTCACCAAAAAAGAAGCAATGAGAAACAGCCTGTGTTTTTCCTTGAGAAGATGGGACTATCACCAATACCAGACTGGGGATATGATTTTGAGGGGAATCGTCTACAGTAGACTATTGCCAGGTTTGAGCATCATAGGGTAACCAGCACTCATGAGATGGCCAGCACATCTGATTGGGATATGTGTGACGTCTTGTCCAAAGAGAATGGCGCTAGGAATCAAGAAGATGCCAGGAATGACATCAGCATCAATGTTAATATGTATTTAATCTGCAACGAATGCAACAAATCATTGCTATGGTAAAGCATTGGGATGGGGATTTATGCCCAGTCTTTCCCGCAGGTGTGAACATCTCAGTCCACGACTGCGTGCCCCTGAGCCCCAATGATTGGGTCATATGTGGGGCGGCTTTGCGGAAAGCCTTTGCGGTGAAACACAATCTATGCACCCCTGCTACTGCATTGGACCTGTTTCAGTTGGCAATCTGATGTACCAAACTCAGAGACCTATATAGAAAGCACCTACTGTACCATGTCATAGTCCATGTTGGTAAGGACAAAAATTATCCTTTTGATGTAATTGAAGACCCAAGCTCAGTCTGTATTTGTGGATTCTGAAGAAAACATGGGTTACAGTAGTCATGACCAAGAATCAAAACCTATGATTCCATACGAATGCGGAGATGAACATCCCATAACAACCAGCTGTTTTCGTGCACAAATCTGGAGTTTTGGCCCATAGCCAAAGCCATAGCTGTACGTATATATATATATATATATCTGGGTGAATTATAACGACCTCACTGCGACCGAGCCCTGGAATCATGGTTAATAAGGGGAATCATCCCAAAATGGCCTTATTTCAGGTGTGTGAATTATTATAATTTGCCCAGATAGATATATATATATATATTCGATAAATATTGCTGTATCCGGGGGAAGTTCAAAACCCATCTGCAAACAATTTCTATAGTAACTTACAAGATAACCTTGGCCTTCTGCAAAAAAAAAGTTGAAAACCTCAGCTGATTCACCATCCTTCACCAACCCAATTGTAGGGGTTCATAAACCCCCTTACCGAGCGCCGCTGTCGTACAAATGTCCAGGATCATCGATCGTTTATCTTACTCGTATGCTTCATTTATTCTTGGATGGGTAGGTGATTGTTTGATGCCTGAATCTTTGGACATGCTCATGAGACTTTGTACGAACTAGCCAAACAAAATGTAGTGGCCATGGCAAAAAGAAATTCCAATCATTGACAAGAAGGGCTGTGAATGTCAAAGATGTTCCTATTGATGATCCCCAATGACTATTGATTACGACATTCTGATATGTCATTCCTATGGTAATAATAATTATGTCATTATGGCAAAAGGATTTTCCTTCTTGTTTACCATAGGATGATGATCCCCAGTCTGACTGTCCTATCCGTATTTTTGATATGAACCTGATTTATGAATATTTCTCTGACAAAAAAAAGATCCACAGAATTAATATTGCAGTAGTACCCATAACTAGAATTGATGATATTAAATCTGAGTTAATATTATAGCAACCTTTGTATGATCCATATTTGTAAATAGATCGGCATCAATATCCATTTATACCCATGATCATGATGTCTTGAATAATCATTGAATACCACTAGATATATATATATATATATATCCATCAATATGTATAGTAATATCATTAAAATATTGAATGTATCCATTGAATATGCATATTTATCGATTGTCATCAATATATCTTGAACATACCCTCTGGTAAACTAACATAACTATGGAAAAACACCTTCTTTAATGGGTCAATCAACTATAAATGGCCATGTTCAATAGCTATTTTGACATAACCAGAGGGTATCCATTCAATGGGAATTCCAGGATCCTAAAATGGAGGTACTGTACCATATAAGGCCATATTTTGGGGGGATATCCCCTTACATAGCCCTTATATAGGCCTTAATATAATATATGGTAGGTACCTCCAATTTAGGATCCTGGAATGGCAATTGATCCATTGAAAATCATCTCATCTCCCGAGATCTTCATCCAAGGCCTTGGCCTTGGAAGCCGTGCAGTCGGCGTCAGGACGCTGTCCCTGCTGCGGCCAGCAGCTGATGCGGCGCCCAAGGATCGCGTCGCTGGCAGATCGATATCTGAGAGGTGGGCATGGGAGGCCATATTTTTACCGGTAGTTGGGCAGTTTGCTATTGAAAATAGCCTATTTATATATCCCATAGGATCCATGTATGGTATATATGCTAACATTTGGGGTATATTGATGGGATCCATGTTACCATATATGGCATACATGGATCCTATGGGTATAGTTGATTTTCGTATGATATGTTAGTTTACCAGAGAGTAATGGATTTGTTTATTTGTCTGTTATGAACATTACATATGTTTAGTAATGAGGGAATATTGGGTAACAACATCATATTTTTTTATATGTATCTTCATGTAACCATGATTTGTTGAAATATTTGGGAACATTGGGGAATCAAACAATGAAATGTTAATCATTAAAAACATATATATATATATATCACATATCTTTATGATCTGGGGAATCCAACCATGAGTTTTGCTAGCCTCTGGTAATTGAACATAGCTATGGAAAAATCATTTGGATTTAAAGAACTGGGGTGCGGGATTTTCAAATATCTATTATTTTTCAACCACAAATGGGATGATGGGTTGAGATGACGAACATTTTTGGGATGGGTTAAAAGGACCAACTGGCTAACAAATACGGGGACATTGTTGAGACAATGATATAATGGAGAATTACTGGGATTTAATGGGGATATAGGATAATATGGAGGGTATGCCAATTTTGTTTTGGTTACCCTCTGGTAATTTAACTAACACGATGCTTTAGCTATTCGAATTGGTAATTTTCAATACTAAGCTGTTAAATTACCAGAGGTTAACAACAATTTTGGGAGTGAAACCATCAAACATATGTGGTAGAATGGGTATGTACAAGCAATATATATATATATCTACATATGTATCTATATTATCATATGTTGATGCTTACAACATTGGGTTACATAATGTCATTTGTTTCGGAAATAATCACTATGAATCGATAGCTGAGTCAACTGGGGACGACTGGGGACTCAGATACTCAGGGTATCCATGATGGTATCCATGATGATTCTACTTATGAGTGGGTTACAACAGGTTGGCACTATGGACACCCACCAAGGTTGACTAGCCATCCCCCTTTCGGCCCTATTTGTACTGGTTGTCTCATCTCCAGCAGTTTTGTTGGTTAAAACCACATTTGGTGTATCTTCAAATCCATCAATGTTGGTGAAATTCACCACTCCATATGGTGTGGATCCATCTTTGCAATTACATGAAAATACATTAACATACTAAACAGTAGCTCTAATTATATATATATATATATTCTATACAGTACATCCAAACATGTATATATATAATATTACATAGATTCAAGTTTGTGTATTTTGCACATGGACCACGGTCCGAGACTCGTGGCTTCCGAATCACCACGTACCACTCCGCCTCCTCGAGGTGAACATGAAAATCAGCTGCTTGAGCGATTCTTCAGCGAAGAAATCACCGCCAAAACGGAGAGTTTCCCGGCACGGGGTTCATGGGGAACGCTGAGTGGATGCTGCTAGTTCTGCTTTCGCTGGGTATTTTTTTTTTAAAGAGGGATTCATGGGATTTTTGATGTTTGAATGGTGGAATTGCGTTTTCATGGGATGATGTTTTGGGTCGGTCAGTCACCCATGTTGGCTACTGTAGTTTCTACTCGGATGTGTCTCAGTTTGTTCAATATGAGTGATGGACATTGATGGTTTTTGTCAAGTTTTCATTGCGAATCCCCAGATCTGCAAAAAAACGGTTGATGGGGAGATATTGACACATAAAGCGCTGCTTTGGATCGCAGTCCATCATTCTATGCAGCAGGTCCTACAGTATTAGAGATGCTGATCCCGATCTTTCTTGGGACGGGTTGCAACCAACCAGATCGTCAGATCTGTTTTCATTTCGGAGATTTAAAGTATAGTTACGTATAATTACCACTAGTCACTAGTCAGGTTGTACCATAGTGCTAGTGTCAGTGGGCACACTGGGAACCCATTGGACACTTGCTAGGCTTGAAGCATCCAGTCATTTGGGTTTCAGCCAGGATTCGGCATGTTCCATGTTCCATTTTAAGGTAGGCCCCTCTATCATTGCTGGTATCCCCATGTTGGTTTTTTTAGTACGGCTTCAACGGGGAAGCCGTTGGGAAGACCCCCACGGCCCCGGGGGCTCACCAACGTCTAGATGGAAGTTCTGCCACATGGGATACGCTGATGCGACCAGAGTTCCACACCTTTCACAAGTCCAGGACTTTCCACAAGGACTGGGCATCCGGGAATCTGGGAAACAAATCCTGCATGATTGATATAAGATGATATAAGCAACCAGAGATCAGAGAAGGTTACCACGGTTTCAAACAAAACCATGGGAGTTTGAGAAGGGTGAGTTTTCAACCGAAAATGAGTGATGTGTCTTTGACTTGATTAGCAAAAATGGGATCCAGGTGAGCACGTAGTCTCAACACTATTTGGGATGGTTCAAAGGTTGGCGGGGGACAGTCGTCGATGATTACATAACCGACGTCGATGAGGAGATATTGCCAGCCTGGTTGGTGTTTGAAACCATGTTTGGTTTTCGATCCGAAACGGGATGAGAATCCCAATTGAATCCCAGTTGATTTGAGATTTTGGTTTCAAAATCACAAACCAGCAATAGTGGATATGATTATGATTATGTGGAATCGGGGTATGTGTGGGTTGATCACTGTTTGATCCAGGGCTCCCAGGGTCACAGCTCAAAACACAAGTAAACACAAGTCTATTTTTCACCGCGGCAATATGTCATATGTTCTCTGCATTCTTCAAGGATTCTTGGTGTTCTGAATGATTCCAACATGGTTCTCTGAGGACTTCCGCCACATTTCTTACATCCAACATGAGGCCATGGATGGGATCCAACCAAGCCGTGGGTGACTCGGTGACACCCAAAAGGTCAAGTTTGTTGGTGGCTGTTGGTGGCTACCCACTGATCATTTTTTACATGTTGAAAAAAAACATGGCCCATGTATAGATGATTTTTCACGATTTTACCTTTTAAAAGTGAAGATTTCCATATGTTACCCTCTGGTAAACTAACATAACTATGGAAAATCACCATTTTTAATGGGAAAACTCACTATAAATGGCCATTTTCAATAGCAAACTGTTAAATTACCGGAGGGTAAATGACCAGAGGGTCATGTAAAAGCTCTCAAGCTGCGACTATGCCCTGCTTGGGCGCAGGAGCTTTCTGAGTCCTTAGCCGTCTTGGAGGAGATTCAGATTTCGTGTCCGCAGAGACTTGGCAACCGGCAACCGGCTGAAGGATTTTGAATAAAAATACATATACAATACATATATATATATATATATGATTATATATGTATATATATATATCCATATAGAGTGTATATATATATATCCGTATAGAGTGTGTATGTATATATATATATATATCCATATAGAGTGTGTATATATATATATATATATCCGTATAGAGTGTGTATGTATATATATATATATCCATATATAGTGTATATATATATATATCCGTATAGAGTGTGTATGTATATATATATATATCCATATAGAGTGTATATATATATATCCATATAGAGTGTATATATATATATATATATCCATATAGAGTGTATATATATGTATATATCCATATAGAGTGTGTATATATATATATATTTATATATATCCATATAGAGTGTATATATATATATATATTTATATATATCCATATAGAGTGTGTATATATATATATATATATCCATATAGAGTGTGTATATAAATATATCCATATAGAGAGTATATATATATATATCCATATAGAGTGACATATATATATATATATGTATCCATATAGAGTGTATATACGTTCCCATCAAAAATTGGATTCTCCAGCCAAATATGTCTTTACCAGAAGGGGAAGATTTGTCTGTATGATGGTCTGTGTGGGTTGAAATAGAGGAAATGGAATCACAGCACAACCGGGCCGCCAAACGATATACGTGATGCACAGAACCATCAGCCGTGCCAACCCTCGAGACAAACAAGTTGTTTCCATTTCACTATACAGGGTAGCAGGTAGTGATCATGCTTTCCTAAATGCCTCGCGTTTTGGAGCCAAGATGTTTTCAAAGGCTTAAGGATTTGTTTTGATATACAGTCGGATTTAGGTTAGTGCCTTGTTTGTTCACACGTTTTTTAAAACTCATCTGTACACTCCCTCTTGTGACTCATCCTTGCACGCAAAAGTTCTCCAGTCTTAGATCATACATTGTCATGTCTTTCTACTTTACTCACCTCGCCCCATCCCAACCCCAACCCCACCCCAACCCCACCCCAAGACATGATGAGTGTGCAGTGCATGTGTGTGTGTGCGGGTCAATGAACATACAGTAATCAACATTATTTGTAACCCACCCCACCCCAACCCCACATGATCAGCGTGCAGTGCCTGTGTCTGCATATGAACATGAAGGCTATGGGCACTCCACTCCAACCCCACCCCAAGACATGATGAGTGTGCAGTGCATGTGTGTGTGTGTGCGGGTCAATGAACATACAGTAATCAACACTATTTGTAACCCACCCCACCCCAACCCCACATGATCAGCGTGCAGTGCCTGTGTCTGCATATGAACATGCAGCCTATGGGAACTCCACCCCAACCCCACCCCAAGACATGATGAGTGTGCAGTGCATGTGTGCGTGTGTGCGGGTCAATGAACATACAGTAATCAACATTATTTGTAACCCACCCCACCCCAACCCCACATGATCAGCGTGCAGTGCCTGTGTCTGCATATGAACATGAAGGCTATGGGCACTCCACTCCAACCCCACCCCAAGACATGATGAGTGTGCAGTGCATGTGTGTGTGTGTGCGGGTCAATGAACATACAGTAATCAACACTATTTGTAACCCACCCCACCCCAACCCCACATGATCAGCGTGCAGTGCCTGTGTCTGCATATGAACATGCAGCCTATGGGAACTCCACCCCAACCCCACCCCAAGACATGATGAGTGTGCAGTGGATGTGTGTGTGCGGGTCAATGAACATACAGTAATCAACATTATTTGTAACCCACCCCACCCCAACCCCACATGATCA